GCCTCCCCCCTCCCCTTTCCTCCCCCTCCCAAAATAAGAAAACAAAGAAGTGGATAAGATTTAGTGTGAAAATTGCATATATTTTAAAGAAAATATGTTTTCATGCTTAATGTTGAACAAAATTGTGTTTTGCTGAAAGCATTTTGTTTTTGTGCCCTAGGATTAATGACATCAAAAAAAGAGAGTGCTTCCGAGTCCTCGCTTGCATTGCCTCCCAGTGAAGAACCAAGAGCTGCAGCAGAGAAAGATGGTAGTTTGTGCCTTCTGTTTCTCAGAACTGCATTTGCTGATGGAATGTTCAAATAATACAGTACTGAAACAGCTTATATAGGGGTTAAGTTTTAAAGTTGCTAAGGAGAAAATCGTGGCAGTAAAAGCCTCCCTTGGGAAAAACCTCTTTAAAAATATAAAACCCTGTAGCCTGTTCCTTATGTATCTTAAAGAACTTCTGGACTAGATATGAGAAGGGATAAAAGGAATTTACAGTGCAGATGGCTTGTCCTTACCCTTTATGTCATTAGAAGAAGAGATTTGTGCAGTCTTACATGCCTTCAGGTTTAGTCCAAAATGTTTTTTTTTTTTTAAATTAAAATTTTTATGTGTATGAGTGTTTTGTTTGCATGTGTGTAAGTGCACTGTGTGTGTGCAATGCCTAGCAGAGGGCAAAAGAGGGCATCAGATCCCCTGGAAGTGGAGTTACGGTTGGTTGTTAGCCACCGTGTGGGTGCTGGGAACTGAGCCCAGGTCCTCTACAAGAGCAGCCAGTGCTCTTAACCACTGAGCCATCTCTCCAGCCCCTAATTCAAAATGTTTTAATGTTAAACGTTGTCACCTTAAAACCCATTAATAGAATATATGTATGTATTAAAAATAAAATGCTTTCTATTATAGTTTCCCCTGAAAGCAGTGAATGTTGATGGTGAGACTAGTTAACATTCATTGATAGGGTGACACCTCCTATGTTATAAGACAGCCATCTTACACTGTGAATCCTTAAAAATTGCTGCTTATTTAAGCATGGGTGTATTTGTGCTTAAACAGCAGTATACTTGGATGAAATCAGGTATTTGACACTAGATAATCCCAGTTGAGGAAGCTAAAGGAAGTTGAGGAAACGTTTCAGAAGGATTTTTCCAGAAAAACATCTTACTAGTCCCTTTGTTTTTTACATGCTTTAAAGTATGATTCTTTTTGGTTCCCTGTCAGTTACCCAGCATGGATCTATCAGCAGCTCCTCCTCCACATCTTCTCTTGAGCGCAAGGAGAGCTACCCTAAGAAACTGAACACAAGCAGCCATGGCACGAAGACCATGAGCAAAAGCCCCTCTCTCTCGTCCAGAGCCAGTGCTGGTATCTATGGCTTTTTCAACCAGGCTTTCTTGGTGTTTTTTATCTTGGTTTGTTTGTAAGTAGATTTGCTCTTTTTAAACGTGTAAAAGGAACTCTTTACTTCAGTCAGATTGAACTACTTCCTGTTTTCCCCACCTCCCCAGGGCCTTAAGACTCCGGGCTTCGGTGGATAGGAGCCCTTACATTCATTCTTTGTGTTGTGGTGGGTCTGTTCCATCCAGTCAGCTCTCTTGCGTGCCTTTGTATCATTTTCATGTTTAAACAAGCATGTTTCCTGGATGACAGAGCCTCTTCTCATGTGCCTTTAACTGGGTGGGTCCTACATAATTGCCCCCAGTCACTTGTCTTCCATTATGTGTAAGAGGCAGAAAATGCGTTGCCAGGCTTCTGGTTGAAATCTACATAGATCCCATCAAATGCTGTTTGCTTGTTTACCTGCACTGTAACCTCGTCCAGAAAGAAAATGAAGCCATTTTGGCATAAGTTGGAAAGTTCCCCTGAATGATGCTTATAATAATTGCCATATTATTTCATCATACTTTGCTACCTACATAGAACTGATGTTTTATTATAGAAAGTGTTTAAGGCAGTATTTTTTTCTGTTTAAAAAATACTTTTTTGAGACGCTGGGATGTGGCTCAAGTTTTGAGTGCTTGCCTGGCACGGTGAGGTTGTGGGTTCAATCACCAACTCCGCAAAAACAAAACAAAAACTAAAACCACGAACCGTGTGTGGGAAGCCCCCAAACTCACAGTGGTGCTATTACTATGATAAATCTAAAAGTGGAGACATGAAAGGCACAAGCCTGGAAATTGGACCAAAATTGCTTATCTAAGTGCCTGTCCTGCCCCCATCCCAGCCAATTTCTCTTTAAGGTCCTGAGGAACAGGGGAGTAGGTGCTTGACAATGACACAGCAATCTTGCTCTTTCTTTATTTACATTTTAAAGAGACCTTCATTTTGAATTTGCTCTTTTGACATTTACTTGATTTTAGAATTTATGAGGGTTTGGAATTACATTTTTTCTTTTTACCTTTTATTACAAGCAGTTCCAATGTGCCTGTATGCCTGCCTACTTTTTTTCTCTTTATACATTTGAGGATTATGTTGACCTAAATAATAATGAGGATAAAGGTAATTATCAGAATGAGAAAGGACCTTTTAGAGGGGGGGAGGTATGTGTGGATGCAGGGGTCAATATATGGAATTCCAGAGACATTTCTTTAAGCTTTTCTAGAGGGAATTAATAGTCTCCCATAGACTTTTGCATTGGAAGGATGTGAACTGCAGACTGCAGACAAGCATGGAAAGATGAGTAAATGGAGGGCAGGACAGAAAGAAAGGGGTAGGGGAGTGGAGAGGTGGGCAGAAAGTCTGGTTCTGGGCCTCACCTCACTGTCTCCCATCGATGAACTTGCCTCTTTGGGCCATTGTCTGAAGAGGCAGTGGGCAGGGCTGAGGTGTTCTGGCTCCTCTGGGTCTGGGTAGCAATCTGGATGTGGCATCTGTGGCCTGCAAACATCTTGTCTTAGGTCTTATTTATCATTACATCTTTTATGAAAAGCACTTTGTAAACTCTGCAGTGCTACAGAGGTGTGGTGTAGAGGTGGAGGGCCAGGACTTTTCAGAGGCCCATTGATGAGGGGGCCTAGGGCTTTTTGGTGTCCCAGGGAATCCAAGCTTTCCCTTTCTACAGGGTTATTAAACTCCTTCACTTGCCACCTATGTTTTCTGTGGCTACTTGTCCTCTCCCAGGCCTTCACCTAGGGTTCTCTAGGCCTTCCTGGATGGTAGCTGTTCAATCTCTTTTAGGGACAACCTTTTGATTGTTGTATTTGAACAGCTGTTGAGACAGTATTTCTCTGAGACTTCTGATACTGAATAGTGGACATATTAGGGTTAGTTTTGAATTAAATGAAAGGGAACAGTTTTCTTAATTGGGAAAACTGTTTAGGGTAATTGGAACCAGTTGTAGGTTGGATAGTCCTTACAGGCAAAGCTTGGGACCAGGAATGTTTTGAATTGGGGTGTTTTGGGTTTTGAAGCATTTGTATAGACTTTACTGTTTGATCATCTCTGATTGGAAGCTTTGAAATTTCTGAAACTTTCTGCATGTTGGCACTCTGATCTGAATGTGCGTTTGAGCATCTATGTTCAAGAAGTTCAGATTTTGGAAGATTTCACATTTCGTGTAGTCCAGTTTGGGGTGCTTTGTCAGCCTGCAGCGACTTCGAACCACATTCCCATGTGTATCTACACTGAGTACAAGTAAGCACAGTACCTCTGGTGTTTCACTTGAGTAAGGTTAGCCCACTGGACAAATCTGACCTGCCGCTTGGTTCTGCAAATGAAGTCTTATTGGAACAGAGCTAAGCATATTCTTTTTGTGTTGTTCATAACTGCTTTTGTGCTTCAGCATCAAAGTCGAGTCCTTGTGAGAGAGAAGGTAGAGCTTGCAAAGTCGAGTGTTTGCCATCTGTTTTTCACATAAATGTTCGGCTGGAGCAGAGAGTGTGCCTGGACGCCCTAGGAGAGTTGGTTCTTTCCCAGGATCTAAGTCTATGAGTTCCCCACAGCAGTGATGTTCTGAGGGAACCCTTCTTTCTTGCTTTGAGTGCCCTGACGTGTTGTGTGAGGAACACGGCTGTGATATGTATATAACGAAAGGCACTGGTGTCAAACCTCCAGCTAACTAGACTAGTTAGAATACCGAGAGATTAAAAAATAATGTGTTTTTTGAGTTTTTCCTTCCTTTGTTTTCTTTCTTCTTTTCCTACCCTGCCCACGTTTCCCACCCGCCACTTCTATAGGTTTGAATTCTTCAGCAACATCTGTAGCAAATAGTACCCGCCAGGAAGGAGAGCTCCACCTTGGAGAAAGAGTGCTGGTGGTAGGCCAGAGAGTAGGGACCATTAAGTTCTTTGGGACAACAAACTTTGCTCCAGGTAACTCACCTAAATTGTCTTTGCTCAATTTGAATTTTTTTTTATAGTACAAGAGGCTTAAAACTTTAGAGGCAAATGAAATGTAGCCATAGAGAAGTTCTTAATTAGCCATCCTTGTGGATGATCGTGATGGCAAACAGAGTGTGAGGCAGTGATGCAAACTTGGACTGTGGGTGTTCCCACGGTGCTCAGAATGACTGGTGTTTTCATTTGCCTAATGTTAAAATTACTTGTGGTTTACTTAGTTTTTTCTCATTGACTACAGAGTGTGATAGATAAATGACAAAAGACATAATCAGGATTAAGTTTTTATTCTCCCCTACCCTAGGAATAATCCTTAAAATGAGTAGGTAATGAGTTGACTGCATAGCTTTTATCAGAGTGGCTTGCAGAGGAAAATCAAGGAAGATACAGAAGCTATTGTACATCCCCAGACCTAAAAATACATGTCTGTGAACTGATATATTCAACCCCATCTACTTAATATTGTGCTTCCAAAAGTAAAGATAGTTTTCTTTTGCATTTTCAAAGATTATAACTTTAAATGGAAGTCAGTTTCTTGAAACCACTTCTGTGCTTTAAATAGCAATATGCTGTTTTAACACAAGGTGGCATTGCAGTGTTTAGCAAAAGGTTATCTGTAACATTGAAAAAGGAAAGTTTGTGGTGTAGCATTCTTTCAAGAACCAGGAAGGAACTGAGATTTTTTTTACTCTATTTGCAAATAAGCAAATTAACCTGCCACAGTTTTGTAGATGCTGATGAAGACATGAGACTCTTAGACCAGAGACGGAGGGACTAAATACCCACAGTGATAACAGCAGGTGGAGTATTAGTATTTTCCTGCCCTGATCCCCAAGCCCCAGGTCCCACAGGCTGGAGCAGAGAGGGCCAGCTGATACCCTCACACCCAGCAGTTCTTGTTCTAGAAGGGGAGCCAGAACCTTTAAAAGGTTTAGATTCTTTTACTCTTGAGTTAATTGCTTGGCGCAGTTACCTGCTGCTCTGGAGGGAGACTACACTTCTGTTCTCTAAGGCTGTCCCCTGTACAGACATGCATGCCACAAGTCTGGAGTAAAGGCATCCAGTTCTGTCTCTGAGACAGAAACATGAGAGAGCCATGGAAAATTGCCTCCGGATACACTGTTTGATTAATACCACTTTTAGTTATAAGTCAGTACATTATTTGAGATATTTTGGAATCCATGACTCCCACAGGTCTCCTGAATGCTTCACATTAGATAGCATGTACTTAACATAGTTCTTAAATAAAAACTTAGGAAGCCCACTGGTAGGTTATTTTTCATAATTGCTGTATATCTCAAGTTCCCTTTCTCTGACTATATTAAGCAGGACTATGACAGTTTGATTTTTTAAAAATATAATTCATCTTTTTAGGTTGGCTTTTAATTTTTAGATTCCCCACATAAATCATTCAGGAATTTGGGGAATAATAGGCAAGTGAAATAAAGTTGGAAGCTTTCATGTTAAAGTCGTCCTACCCTTTAAGGAAGTGGTAGTGTATATACTTAAGGAATCCAGATTTTGACTAGTCATTTCTATAGAACGGTGATTATGTTGAGACTTTCTGTAGATTATAAGATCTGGACCTGAAAGAGCACTTGTTTAGCTGCCCCAGTATTGTCAACGCCACCTTGGAATGACAACATTTAGATGGGAATGTGGCGCCACTATTCTAATACTTAACAGAATGTTTTTCTGCTGTTACACATTTTTAAAGAGTTATATGGTAAACGTGCAGTAGAAACATGGTAAATTAAAATGGAATGTTAATAAACTAGAGAGGAAGGTATCAAGGGAAAAAGGAAGTAAAATTTGAGAAATCATAAATGTGATACTCAGAAATAATCTTAACCAGACTAACGTGGTTTAGGCGAGTCAGAAAGCTGCTGACTTGTTTTCAGGGCATTAATGTGGCTAGACAAGAGGCTTATGCACACGGCATAGTGGCATAGGAGGGCTGTGCAAATACAAAACACTGGCTGGGCTCTGTTCTTTTCAGTACTAACATCAGTAACCAGAAGTGGGCCCAAGTGGGTTTTTTTTTTTTTTTTTTTTTTTAGTGTGAGAGAGAGAGAGAAAAAAAAAAACAAGATTAAGAGATTATTCTAGGTTGGCTTTTAAGGTTACTATAAATGAAATTGGCTCTTTGAACTAGTAACTAAAGGAAACAATACTTTTGTATTTTGTAATCTGTAGTAAATTTCTTGATTTCTATGTGCTTATTTTTTATTTGGTACTGTTTATAAGAAGCCAACTACAATCACTGTTGTACTGTCTTAAACTACAAATGAATGAGCTATTAAGTATGTTTAGCTGATCTTCCCCCCCACCTCCGACTCAGGAGCCCTTGTTTAGGAATGGTCCATATGTAGTTCCTGTTGGCGGCAGTATAGTCTTGCTGTTTCTGTTTCAGTTTCTAGAGACTTGCTGTCCTCAGAGGTGGCCCTTAGATACTAAGCCTTTCAGAAAAATGTTCCCATTAGCTAACCTAAGTCTTTTCATTTAGTTAAAAGACGTAATAGCATCACATGCTAGCCAGTGGTATTGTCCATGTTAGCTCTGTCCTTGTTTAATTTATCAAGTATTTGTAGTGTTCTAATATTGGGATAGTAAAATGAAGAGTGCGTGTCCGTTTTAGGATTTAGGTATCTTGGTATTATATTAACACTCCTCTCACGGAAGCACACTGTATTAGAGTTGAGGACACTTTCTTTTTCATTATAGTTTTAAGATACGTTTTGGTGGTACTCTACTTGCGTAATAGCTAATCCTTTGTACACTGGAATTTACGCATTTTATTTTCCTCCCTTAATGTACTGCTCTGCAATTATGCTGGTAAAATGTTTTCCCCACTTTTCAAATTTTCAAGTTTTATTTTATAATTTTACCATTTGAAAGCTTAATGATCTTCCATCATTTGGGTCATTTGTGAAAATGCTAAGCCATTGAGACTTTGAGTTGGTATAATCGCATAACGATTGTGAATAAAGTGCAGATGCTTTTAAAATGCAATCTTCTGTTCTAGGGTACTGGTATGGTATAGAGCTTGAAAAACCCCATGGCAAGAATGATGGTTCAGTTGGAGGTGTGCAATATTTCAGTTGTTCTCCAAGATATGGAATATTTGCTCCCCCATCCAGGGTGCAGAGGTGAGAAAAAAAATTGGAATTTATATTTATTTACGCACACTTCTTGTAATTTGCAGCAGGACCTTAATTTCATCTGGAAGATAAGCACACGCCTTATTTGAAAGGGTTAATCAACAACCTTCCTCACAGGGAAGGCTCATGGGAAGCTAAATTTGCCTTGCTGAGGATTTGCAATTTTAAAAACCTCCTTTCTTCCTCATTTGCAAACCCTGTGAGTATGTGTAGGCTATTAGAAGTGGCGTTTGCAGCTAAGAACAGGGAAAGTAGCAAGCTTAATCTGTCATGCAAACAAAAGTAAAAATGCTCTCTGATTGCTTCAGTCACATCCTAACTACATTAAATTTCCTGCCAGCAGGCACCCATTCATTCTCCTACAAACCTAATGGAACCAAAATGGCTTTTTCCTCTGATTTCTTTAGTTTTCAAAAATAGATAGGCAGTAGCTCTTTGGGGGAAGTGAAGTTTCAAGGATTTCTGTGTAATAAACCTCCTCGGTATTTCTTGCTAAGATAGTAGTATACTTGTGTGCTACCTCCCTCTGGTTTTGAAAAACAGGCAGATCTGAAACAGGTCCTCAGGAAATTCCAGGTGAAATGCAAAGTACATTTTCTTACGTGCTGGGAGAAGCTGGTTCCATCTGCTTTTCAGAGGCAGGGAGATGGGATGCTAATCTTTTAGGAAGAGATAAAACATACATGGTATCATCATAGTCAAAGAACTGCTTGGGCAGTCCCAGAGCCTTTGCTGGGTTCCTTTTAGCTGGACTGTGACAGTGTTGGCTTTTGGTATTGGTTTCCCTCGTTTAGAGTGTACTTGATATCATTATTGTGTACGACAGCAAGGCATTCAGCTTACAGTTCTTTGTAGTTCAGAAGGTATCTTCACTGAAATGTTATTTCATTTGACCTTAATAAATACTTGGCCAGGTGAGCTGGAAAACAATCCTAAGTATTACAAACCTTTATTGAGCATTTAATGGTAGGCTTTGCACTGAGCACAAGCAGTATATGCCATTCCTCTCTGCAGACCCAGGGAGCCATCAGCTGGCTGGCCTTGGTCCCATCTTACAGGTGAACAGTTTCCAAGAGAAAAAGTAGCTGAGCTAGAGCTGTATTGCTGCTTAATGGAGGAACTGGGCTCAGCCCAATTTGGTTGCCCCCCTTTCCCCCAAGTCCATGTGTTTAGGCACTTTGTGCTCCCCCCTCGCCCCCAGCAGCCCTTTTTAAATGAAGAAGAGGAGGTGCTGACTATTGAATAGCACCTGCCCATCCATACTTGCCATTGTTTTCAGTATGTCTCTGTGATTTACAGCAAGCTGTGGGGCAGGCCCTATAATTATCCCCTTGCATGGAGGAAGACAGTCTGGCCCAGAGAGGTAACATGAGCTGTGCTCCACAGTGGCAGTGGGGATTTGAACCCAGCAGTCTAGAGTGTTAGTGCACTCTTCCCCATAACCCTGTAATGGTTACCAGAGCTTCTGTGACTCTCCTTCCCACCTGTGTCAGGTAGATGGCTGATATGGGAGTCAAGCCCAGCTCAGTCGTCTCTCAGGCCTCTGTGTTCCCCTGTCAGTTGGGATCATTTTCATTGCATATCGCCATGAGCTCACAAGCTTCATTTGTCTGCTAGTCTTGAGGACTGGGGTTTGTTCCGTGTTCAGTTACCCTGAGTACAGAGTTGGGCACATTTTAGGCACAGCACAGAGCGATCAGCTCTGATTCGTAGTCCCGTGCTTTTTGTATGGACGACCTTTTCCCCTCCTCTGTATTATGAAGCCGCATTCTTTTCCCGTGGTTTCATATTTTTCATTGCTTTGTTTACAGAGCACATATATTTTTTTCTTTTCTTTTTCTTTTTTTTTTGACTGTTTTGCTTGTCTTCTGTTTGGTCTTCAAGGTAGTGCATCTGAAAGCAACCCCCACTTCTTAAAAGAAACAGGGCTCTGTCTAAATGAACTGCTGTCTCGATCCAGCTGTCTTCCTGTCATCTTCTGATTGTCTCATTCATCATCATCAAATACTATTAAGTGTCTTTTAGCACTTTGTGCTGTGCTAGGCATTCCATAAGCAAATAAAACAGACATGGTCTCTAATTTCGAGGCGTTTTTAATGTAAACCACTTTGGAGTTCTTTAAAGACCCCACTGGTCTTCAAAATGGTAAGATTTTAAACTAGGGGCTGCTTGAGGACAGTCTTGGTGACCAGTCACAATTCTGACCTGTCCTTTCTCCTCAGGACTGTAGCTGGCTTTTTATTTTCCTCCTTTGTATTTTTTGTTTGCTTTTAGACAGGGTCTCCCTGTAGCCCCAGCTGGCCTGGAACTTGCTATGGAGATCAGGCAGGCCACCATTTCACAGAGATCTGCCCACCTCTGCCTTCCAAGTGCTGGGATTAAAGGTGTGTGTCACCACACTCAGCCTCCTTTGCATTTTACAATGTGCTCTTTTGCCAGAACCTACCCCCATGATGACTTCTGCTTGCATAGCTGTGTAGAACCACCGACCATAACCCTCCTTCCATTTAGTGTATTGTTTTGGTTAATATATAAACCAATGACTGTTTTTTAGAGAAAAATCTAAGAAAACGCATAGACACAAAGGGATCAAAGTTGAACCCTCCATCCCCACCCCATGCGTCTTCATGGTTTTCAGTTGTTGCCCTTAGGTACTTAGTTGTGATGAACTGATCACTTCTAGGATTCAGTCCTCTCCACTCACTACATCATTCCAGTACCTGTCCTATTCACCAGGTCATATTCTTTGTGTCCATCAGTCCCCTGATGGTTGTGGGATGTTGTGCATCCTGTAAAAATGATGCATATGTATCGCAGGACGGAACAGAAAAAAGTGCAGGAGCGGCGGGGTTTCCTGATGAGTGCAGTGAAGTGTGCTGCCGGAGGTGACTGACAAATGACGGCCGTGCAGATTTAGGTCAGTAAACAGTTGAAAGGAAATGAGGCTGTCAGGATTGGCTTTGTAAAAATAAAGAATGATTTGAATATCAAAAATAAAGAGAAACTCAGTGGGAAGGTGACCTTTAGAATGGTGCTTAGCGTCAAACGTGAAGGGCCGTGGATTGAACTGCCACACAGGTGTAACAAAAAAAAATTAGGCACATGCACAAACTTGGCCGTTATCTTTTTTTAAGAATTAGAGGTGATTTTAAGATAATTTTAGTCTTATATTTGTTAAACTTGATATAAAATAAATGTATCTCCATATTTTTTAGTTTATCCTTTGAGGATAAAGTTCTAAAGAAAAAGTCCTGTTGGGTTCAGTTCAGTTCCTAGCACTGCAGAAAAACAAACAAGAACAACAGAGTATAAAGGGGCTGTAGATGTAGCTTGGTGGTGGCGCGCTTGCCTAGCATGCGCTAAGGCCCAGGCTCCGTGAAAACAAGCAAACATCAGAACTCAGGTCCCTATTTCAAATGAACCCATTCTGACTTTCCCATGCCACCTGTTCTTGACAGTGAGGACTGGTCTTCTGCTTGTTGTCTCCCATGTTAGACTAAAGCTCTTCTCCAGCTCAAATGGGTGCTCAGTAAATGCTTGCTGAATGAATGGAGTAACAAATAGCAGTTGATGTGAAACCCTCAGTTGAGAGTCTGTCTTAAACCTGAAGACCAGCTGTTTCTAATGAGACGTACTTCTTTGTTTTACTCATAGACTAACAGATTCCCTGGATACACTTTCAGAAATTTCTTCAAATAAACAGAATCGTTCATATCCTGGTAAGATGACACAGTTTTATTTTTGTAATAAGTATTTCTTTGCTTTTATTCATAGAAAAATTTTGATACACGCACACACACATTCACACACATATATATTTAACGAATGTGTGAACTGCATCTGCATAGTTCATACAGTTCATGCGGAGCAGATCTGTTACCTGCTCCCCAGCTGTGTTGTGGAAACCCTGAGAATCCTCCTCAGCTACCTCCTCATCCCTTTCCTATATCCCACCCGAAAGTTAATGAGCCTTGGATTTTGGATTGATTATTCCCTTGATTTTTCTCGGTCTATTGTTACCCATATATGGATTCCTCACTAAACGATGTTTGGTTCTACTTTCTATTTTGTTATTGAAGTGGGATGTGTGATTGTGAGTTGTTGTTTATTTGGGTCGCATCCTGCTTTTTTTAATGATTACAAATGGTGCCGTTGTGCACGTGTGTTGGCGTTTCTCTGGGGTTGGTAAGCATGAATGTCCATACCCTTGCTCTTCTAAGAATGCCAGGTGTTGGAATCACCCACTTCACTCGGCCACAGAGTAGAGTACTGTTGGCTCACCTCACCAACAGTAATCCTGTTTGCCCTGGATATCCTTGCTGGATTTAAACAGTATTTCCTTGTAGCTTTAATCTGCACTTCCCAGATTTTAACAGAAGTCGGTCCTGTTTTCAGCTTAGGGGCCATGTATTTCTTCCTTTGTGAAGTATCTGTTACATCTCTTGCCCATTTTTCTTTTGGGTGATTTGCTTTTTATCTTATTATAGATTGTGTATTTTGGGTGCTAAGCTTTCATCAGTTTTATATGTTGTAAATATATTGTTAGTTGGTGATATAGCTTCACTTTTTGGGGGATGTCTTTTGATGAGTAGGTATCTTTAATTTTTTTGGAAGAATTATTTTTATTTTATATGTATGAGTGTATTGCCTGCATGTGTAAGTGCACCCATGTTGTGAAATGCCCACGGAGGTCAGAAGACGGCATTGTATTCCCCTCGAACTGGAGTTACAGACAGTTGTTAGCTGCCATGTGGGTGCTGGGAATCAAACCTGGGTCCTCTGCAAGAGCAGCCAGCCAGTGCTCTTAACTGCTGAGTCATCTCCCCAACCCTGATCTTTAATTTTTTTTTTTTTTGATCCTCCTGTCTCCATCTCCTAAGGGCTGAGACTAATGGACCCACAGTCCGGCTCTGCTCTTTAATTTTTATGTAGTCAAAAGAACAAACCATTTTATGGCTTGCATTTTTTATCTTAAATCTTTTTTAAAGATTTATTGTAAGTGTGTGTGTGTGTGTGTGTGTGTGTGTGTGTGTGTGTGTGTTTAGGTGCCCACAGAGGCCAGAATTGTCTCTTCCATCTGTAGATAGTGACTATCTATGAAAGAGTTATTTGTATAATGCCAGTCCTTGAATGTCTGTTGAGGTTACCCTATGATTCATGGATTGTCGCCATTCTAGTGGGCATGTTGTTTCGATGGGACATTCCTCATGATGTATGGTGCTATGTGAGTTTGCTGAGGCAGCTTTGGCTTGGAGGTAGCTGTGTTCCTTTAGTGCCTTTCCATCTTCACTTGATCTTTTCCCCATTTTGTTTACCCTCCTCCACTGTGCACAAGTTAAACTGTGAATATACTTCTTAGTAATTATTGTAGGTTCAATTATTGTTGGCCATTTAATGTATGTGCTTCACAAGTTTAAAGTCAATCATCTGCCCTCTCACCCCATAATATTGAATCCTCAGTTGAGCTGCCTTGTTTCTATTTTATCTTCCCATAAATTTGGCATCATCATAATACTTTTATGTAGTAACATTTATTTCACTTCTGTCTTTACTTGTCTTTATTCACCCCCTTAACAGCTTCCACTTAGGATCACATTGCTTTGGCCTCATGTATACCCAGTTTTTATTTGTCTTTCCCAGTGATGTTTTTTACTGGGTATAGAATTTCAGACTGACAAATATTTTCTCCCTGCACATTGATGTCTTTTTACCATCCTCTGGCTTCTGTCATTGATGAGAAGTCAGGAGTCTGACTAATCCATGTTGTTGTAGGTGATTTATCTTGGCTTTCTGTTTGTTTGTTTTGGATTTTTTGAAGGAGCTCTCTTTGGTCTTGTCCAGTTTTATTTGGATGTATGTGGCAGGAGATTTCTTTTTGTGCAGCTTGTTTGGCATTGTGGCTAGTCCTAGATCTGGAGATTGGTATCTGACCAATTCTACAAAAATTCTTATCTATTATACTTCAAATATTTTCTTCTCCATTCTCTGTTGTACCCTGTGGAACTCCGATTAGTAGGACATTTGGCACTGCCTTTCCTATGACATTTTTATATTTTCCACAGCTTGGCCTTCTGACTGCGTTTTAGATACCTGTAGAGTTATTCTTCTATTTCCTAATTCTCTCTTTAACTCTTCTACTGCCTAATCTAGCCATAAGGTTAATCATACAAAGTTGGCTTTTCTTTTTGCAAATCTGCTAAGTGTTACTCTTCTTCCCCACATTTTAAGGCTGTACTTTTATGTCTTTAAACATTTAAAATATTATTTTGGGTCAATTCAATATCTTAACTCTTGGTATGTCTGATTTTGCTGTTGATTTCTGTTGAGCCTAGCTTATGGTGCCTACTTTCCTTGTGTTTTTATGATTAATTATTGCGAGATGCTTGTTTTACTTAGAATTTTACAGATGAGAATTCTTCACCTCCAGATACTGTATTTCCTTCTGCTAGTTGCTTGGAAGCATTGGCAACCTGGAGGACTTTAATTGATGTTCTCTGCAGCGTTTTTATATTACATAGATAGCATGAATTTGCTCATGGCCACAAAATCTGAGAAGAGCAATTTCAGCCTTCTGCTGAGTGAGAGGCTGATCTAAGTCACTTTCCTTTATTTGCATAAGAAGGCTGTTTCATTAGTTTCTCATCTAGACTGATACTGATCATGAGTCCTTTACTGGGGAGTCTTTGGTGGGCGCCCCCTTTGGGTAGGCCGTGCTGCTGCTTTCTGTGTCTCCAATGCAGCCTGGAAGGTCAGAGTCCAACATCCGAGAATTAAGTGGAAATTCTGTGGTACAAGATGGTGTGTTGTTTGGGTGCCTGGCAACCTTTCTTGGCTTTTCTTTCTTTTTTTTTGTCAAACTGTACTTTTGAGGGCTGGGGTGTAGCTCAGTGGTAGAGTGCTTATGTAGCATGTACAAAGCCATGGATTTGGTCCCCAGCATCACAACCCCAACATATGTGTGCGCATACACACACATACACACATACACACACACACACACACAGAATGCCTTTGTGTTTGCTCAACGTACATTTTTAAAAATCAGAGTTGTTTTAAATTGGAGTTGCTTCATTTGAGAGATGTGTTTAGTACATCTGGTTTGTAGAACTGGAAATCCTTTTCCTTTACAAAAAATTACCTTTTGAGAAGCCTTTCTTAAAAATTTTTTAAGCTTTTTTATATAGAGATGGGAACATTAATGAGCTATGCCTTTGTTTCTGCTCAATGTACATTTTTAAAAATCAGAGTTGTTTTAAATTGGAGTTGCTTCATTTGAGAGATGTGTTTAGTACATCTGGTTTGTAGAACTGGAAATCCTTTTCCTTTACAAAAAATTACCTTTTGAGAAGCCTTTCTTAAAAATTTTTTAAGCTTTTTTATATAGAGATGGGAACATTAATGAGCTCTGAAGTTTATTGTTCAGTGCTCTGTACCTGAGATATCTTTATCTTTAATGATAGTGCTTTTTAAAAACATCCTTTAAAATTTTTTATTTTATTTTTATTTTTTATGTGTACCAATGTATTGCATGCATGTGTGTTAAGTGTACCCATGTCGTGCAATGCCTCAGAGGCCTGAAGAAGATGTCAGATCCTCTGGAACTGGAGTTACTAACAGTTGTTAGCTACCATGTGCATGCTGGGAATTGAACCTGGGTCCTCTGCAAGAGCAACCAGTGCTCTTAACTGCTGAGCCGTGTCTCCAGCCCCTAAAAACATCCTTTTTTGTATGATTATCAAGATCATACTATTTCATCATATATGGATTCCACTTTATCAATGTGTGACTCAATATTATTTAGTTTTCAAGAACTCTTACAGGAAAAACCTCCAAAAGGCCTGTTATGATCATAACTTACTCTGTGTGAACAGAGCTGGATTAGGAAGATAAAATTGTCCAGAAAGCTAGGCTACAGTTATGTTCTAAATATGTGCTTGCTTTCTTTTCTCCAGAAAAAACCCCCACTTGATATCATAGAACATCTGTAGAAGAAATGTTAAAAATTAACTTTTAATAAAACTGAAAACATGATTTATTTTTCCTCTTCTAATCTTAACTCTTATATTTAGGTTTTAGAAGAAGTTTCAGCACAACTTCTGCTTCTTCCCGAAAAGAGATTAACAGGAGAAATGCTTTTGCCAAGTGAGTATTAAGAAGATTTAGAAAATATCTTTCAAGATGAACATGCCAGGATTCTGTGAAGGGAGAAAAAATGGAAGTTTGTGTCTTGTGCACTGCTCAGTAGAATTTTAACACATAAGAGAGAAGGTGTGCTCCATGTGTGGGTTCTTCCTCCCCCTCTGCAAGCTCAATTAAAAATGTCATGAGTAACTAAAAATAGTGTGCTGCCTATGTCTCTCTTCTCAGAGGTTAGCACTGTGAGTAAAAGTTGGAGGAATTTACATTTGTGTTTTCATTGAGTGAGGTGGATTGATTTTTAAACTCTGATTTACTGAATTCATCAGATTTGGTTCAGTATGCTCAGCAATATATGGAAGAAACTGTAGGAGCAATCTACTTAAGGTAATCTTAAAATTATTTTTAAAAATGCTCTCATTTCCCCTTGTAGAGTGTTCTCCTCAAATCCATCCCTGATTCTGAGTTGGAAATTGATTTCCTCACTTGAGTAGCTGAGAATTTAGGGGCAGTGACTTTATGCTGCAGTTTATTGAAGATATTCAAGAGTTCTTGGGCAGAATGGAAGACATTAATAAAAAGATACAGCCAGATTATAAAGGATTCTGAAGAGAGAGGAGAGGGAAAGCCAGTGTGGAGATGTTGCTTTATAGGAGGATGATACAGAGTATTGGGCAGGTGGGCATGGGGGAGGAGAAAAATGCTGAGCCTGAGGAAGGGAACCAGAGCAGGTCACAGGGAGAACAGATGATCTGTTGATAGGAGAGCAGTATAGCAGTATTTATCTGTTTCCTATAACAATAAAAAGAAATTCAGCTTTACTAATAATAGGTAGACAGATTGACACTTGTACCTGTTTAAAAATACACATTTAAAATACATTTTTAGCCAGGTGTGGTGGTGCACACCTTTAATCCCAGCACTTGGGAGGCAGAGGCAGGTGGATCTCTGTGCAACCTAGGCCAGCCTGATCTACATAGGAAGTTCCAGGCCAGCTAGGGCTACAGGGAGATCTTGCCTCAATGAATATATTTATATATTTTGAGCATTTTGTACATGCATACAATGCATTTTGATCATATTTACCCCCTACTATTCCCCCAACTTCTTCCCAGATCCAATTCCCCCCAATGTTGTGTCCTCTTTTTTTATTTTTAACCCATTGAGTCCAGTTTGTGTTACCCTTAGACTCATGGGTGTGGGCCGTCTATAGGAATGTGATTGATCTAAACTGACTGTCCCCCAGAAGCCATTAATTTTCAGTAGCTCCTCAGTTAGGAGAGTTCCTGAGCCCCTCTCTCCTGTATGCAGGAATTTTGACTGGCTTGATCTGCTGCAGATCTTGTGCAGGCAACCATAGCTGCTGTGAGTTCATGAATGCAGCCATTCTGTCTTGTCTAGAAGACACTGCTTCACTCTGATCCTCTCTGATCTCTGGCTTGTAATCTTTCTGCCATCTCCTGCAATAGTCCCTGAACTTTGTGGGGCATAGGGTATGATCTAGATGTCCCATTTGTGGCTAAGCATGCCGTAGACCTTTATTCTCTGTACTTTGACCAGTTGTGAGATTCTGCATTAACTGCTGTCCACTTCACAAAGAAACTTCTTTGATGTAGTCTGAGGTTTACACTGATCTATGGGTATAGAGATATAAATTTAGAGGGCAGTTTGATACTATGTCCATTTAGCAAAATCATAGGCTTACCTTTAGGGCCTAGGAGTTCCCCAACCATAGGTTCTTAGCCAGATTTACAGTTCCAGGTTTCCTTCAGTGGAGCAGGCATTAAATCCAATCAGAACATGGTTGGTTACCCCTGCAACATTCATGCTATTTATTGCATCCATGAGTATATCTTGCCACCCCAGTCATTATTGTAGCTCACAGCGTTCACAGCTGGGTAAGACTGTTGATTATTTTTTTCCCTTAGCAGCACACAGAGTGCCTTCTAGTACTGCAGAAGCTAGCCAGTAGGGAAGAAGCTTTCAGGTCTAACATTGAGTTCTTTAATCCATTTGAAATTTATTTGTGTATATGCAGAGAGATCATTTCATTCTTCTACATGTAGATACCCAGTTCTCTCTGCACCACTTGTTAATGATACTTTTTTCCAATGTGTATTTTTGTATCTTTGTCAAAAATCGTATGACTTTAGATGCATGGACTTACATCTGGGTCCCTGATACTATTCCATTGATTGATGTATCTGTGCTTGGTGCCAGTACCATGCTGTATTTACTATTATGGCTCTGAGTGTAACTTGAAATCAGAAGTGGGTGGGTACTTTCAGCAGTGTTTTATTGTTCAAGATTGTTTTGGATATCTAGGGTCTTTTGTGCTTTCATATAAATTTTTTTTTTTGGTCTTTTTGAGACAGGTTCTCCCTGTAGCCCCAGCTGGCCTGGAACTTGCTATGTAGACCAGGCTGACCTCGAACTAACAGAGATCTGCCTGCCTCTGCCTCCCAAGTGCTGGGACTAAAGGCTGTGCCACCAGTTTTTTTTTTTTTTTTTTCTTCTGTGAATTGAATTGCATTAGAATTTTCATACGGACTGCATTGAATCTGTAGATTATTTTTTGTGGGGGGGATGACTATTTTCACAATATTAATCCCAGCAATCCATGTGCATGGGGGGGGGGTCTTCTCTCCATTCTTTGGTATCTTCTTCCATTTCTTTCTTCAGAGTTTTAAAGTTTTCATTGTATAGGTCTTTCACGTCCTTGGTTACTTTGGTTAGGTTTATTCCAAGGCTTTTTTTTTTTTTTTTTTTTTTTTTTAAGGCTGTGGTGAATAAGATTCTCAGTCTGTTTGGTACATAGGAAGCTTACTGATTTTGGTACATTAATTTTGTAACCTACCACTTTGCTGGAGTTTCCTGGCGGAGTCCTTGGGGTCTCTCACATAATAGAATCGTGTCATCTGCAAATAGGGATATTTGATCATCTCAGTTAACGCTGCAAAAGCCTTTGACAAAATCTAACAACCATTCATGATAAAAACCCTGGAGAAACTAGGAATGGAGGGAACATATCTCAATTAAAAAATGATTATATTCTTCATAAACTTTATGTGATTATAAAACTAAATAATGGATTCAGACCTGGCAGCACAAACAAATGTGGAAATTGCATCCGTCGTGTGGCTCTGATACCTAAGGCCTGTTCTTCTTCCCTTCTGGATAGGTCAAAGACTGCTCTACGCCGAAGCTGGAGCAGTGCCACCACAGGTGGCCTGGAGGGGACTGCAAAACTGCATGAGGGGTCTCAGGTCCTGCTCACCAGCTCTAATGAGATGGCTACCGTTAGGTACCTGGGCCCCACGGACTTTGCCTCAGGCATCTGGCTTGGACTGGAGCTCCGAAGTGCCAAGGGGAAAAATGACGGTGCTGTGGGTGACAAACGCTATTTCACCTGTAAGCCAAACCATGGAGTCTTGGTTAGACCAAGTAGAGTGACCTACCGAGGGATTAATGGGTCAAAGCTTGTTGATGAGAATTGCTGAGTTAAACCAAGACATTTAATGAGTTCATATGTATACTTAACATGTACTTGATGTAAAATAGGATCTACGGTAAAAGGTTTAAGTATTTAAAAATGGAAAATATAGTTATCTTCATAAACATAATAATTGAAAGAGTCCAAAGGCCACAAATATGAACTCTGGGGAATCATGGTTCTTTAAAAATAATTTCAAGGGAAGCACTTTTAAAAATTAGGTCCCAAGAAAATTCTGGGGCTCAAAAAAATGAATGTGCTGTTAGGTGATGTGCGATGCTTTGCTTTCTCATTCCGTTTCAGCTTTGCACGTGATGTTGGGTTTCCCATAGTGCCATAGTCATGATGGTTCTCGCTAGCTCCATTTAACATAAAATTCACACGACCCTTTTCTGTCCGAGTGCTTTAGGAATTTTTCGTTCTGTCTGCAGTTTATTACTAAAAGGTAACTTAAGAGAACAGTATCTGGATGACTGGTGTAACTTTTGTATTTTTGGTAAACTCACTTGCCCTTTCAGAAAAGCCTCCTGTAAGCTCTTAGGACCTGGGAAATGGATGCTGGGAAGTGCAGGCTTTGGGTGCTGTGTGGCCCTGCTTCTTGCCCATTGCTAGACACGGAAATGAGTTGCTTTGATCAGAGCCGCTGATTAGTTGCTTTACAGAGCTAAGAAGGAGCATAGGTTTCCTGACTTGTGGCTCAGTGCTCTTTGCTCTGTACAGATGTGGGCTCAGATTTTCCTGCTGCTGCCAGACTTGCCTCATCAGTGTGAACTACAAGAGGCCTGCAATTAAGATTTAAGAACTCAAGGCAAAATTTTTTGCACATGCTTATTTAATGTCTTTATTGGATGTATCTAATACATACAAAGCACTTTTAAAACATGATGCACTTTCTTTTTTTTTGAGAATTTGCCATCATTTCCTCCTGGGCTATGAAACTTTTTAAAGAAGTATTTCACAGAAGAGAGCAAATTAAGGTCAGTTAGGAGGGTGTCTTAGTTCATTTGAATGTTGGTGGTTTCTGGGCTTTTGGGTGTTGTGCTGTGTGTTTTGTCCCCTTTGGCTGTGGAGCTGAGTCTGGTGCACAGCTGCCGAGTGGGCCAGCGCTTTGGTTTCTTTCTTGAGCACATTAAAGCGAGGCTCTGCAACGGTGATATAATAGTGCCACACATTTGTCTTGTGGATATGTACTGGAGCTTCTGTCCTGTATGTGCAATGATTTATCCTTTATTGTAAATATTTAGACTAAAAACTACTGCAGAAATATTGAACAGTTTGGTTTATGAAATTAAAAGTATCCTTCCTCTAATGGAATTTGCTTTGTGCTTAGACATATAATATGCTGAACTATTTTGCAATATACAATTTAAAATCTAAATCCTGTCATTTTGTTGCCTTTTTTTTAAGTATGGTATTTCAAATAGAGTTATTTTCCTGAAATACATTTGCAAACTGAGGCTGCTTTATAATCAAGGAATATTTTTATTGATTGAAGAAAATGACTGCTGCCATTAAAAAGTGAATTTATTTTATTATATAAATTATTTCTTTAAAACTATTTGTACCTTAGCATGAAATCCATGGATATACTGAACCTAGGTATCTATAATTCTTCCTGTTAACTATTAAAAACTGTATGTTAGAAACAGTAATGCTGACACGGAACTTAATTTTGACATCAAAGAACCGATTGTGCTCTTGATGTTTAGATTAGGATTATTAACTCCATAATGGTTTATATGCTTGCAAATACTATACATGCAAGATAGGTGTTTTCGTTTGTTTTGCTCATTAAATGTCACTCAGATTCACTTCTTGAACATTAATAAAAAGGAAAGCTGTTGGTTTTGGAATGGTATTGTGTCATTTGCCCCCTCTGAAATTCTCCTTTTTTCAGTCACTCTGGGTCCATGTGCTCTGTGCTTCCACTCCCATTGTAATGACTTGGGTTTGTCCTGTCCCTATATAAAAAGTCTTCAAGGTCTCATGCTTTGTAAAAATGTAATGTTTTTATTCTTTGAGATTTTCCATACATACAGTGTATTTTATCATATCCACCCCCACTCCTCTCATTTCCTCCCAGACCTCCCTCACCACAGCCCACTCCCCACATCATGTCCTCTCATTTTATTATTATTTTTTTTAAAGTTATTTATTATTTTTATTTTATGTGTATGCGTGTATTGCCTGCATATGTGTAAGTGCACTGATGTCATGCAGTACCTGTGGAGGACAGAAGAGGCTTTTGTATACCCAGGGACTGGAGTTACAGACAGTTGTTAGCTGCCATGTGGGTGCTGGGATTTGAACCCGGGTCTTCTGCAAGAACAGTCAGTGTTCTTAACCTCTGAGCCATCTCTCCAGCCCTATTTTTATTTTTAAATAACCTACTAAATCCATTAGTAGTGCCCATATGTGCACAGGTGTAGGGCCAGTCACTGGAACATGAGCCACCTACCAGTGACCACCCTTCTGAAGAAAACTAAACTGATTCTTCCTCCCCTAGCAGCCATCAACTCAGTAGCTCCTCAGTTATGGGTGGGGCCTCATTAGTTTCCCCTCCTTCTGTACTAGAACGCTGACTGGCTTGATCTTGTGCAGGCAGCAGCTGCTGTGAGTTCATGAGTGCAGTGGTCCTGTCATGTCCAGAAGTCACATACTCAATAGAATGGAGCCCTTTGAATTTTGATATTTAAAAAACCCTAATCACCTTTCTCCTAAAGAGCTTTGTTTTTCTATTTCAGAGTAATTCGGAGGGGGGGAGGGATAATTTTAAGTGTTTAAAAATGTTCGAATTCATGTGATTTCTTTACAAGTGAAAGTGGACTGAGATGGTGGGATTTTGGTGGAATCCCCTTCTTCCCCAGAGCTCTTCACACCTCCCATGCTCTTTTCTTTTCTCCGTTTGCCACCCTTCGTCTGTGAACTTGTTGCTTATTACCTACTTCCTGCACTAGATGGAAGGGTGAATTTCGGTTGCTTTGTCCACCACTTTATCCCCATACTGAGAATAATCCTTGGCACCTGCCTGCTGCTCAGCAATGCCTATTGAATGAACAGCGGCACTGCAGGCCAGATGGTTTAAATCCTGAGGAACAGGAGGTGATTTGGAGAGACTGCGTCCTGGGGCTGGTTCATCTTACTAGATAAGGGAGGAAAGAGGGCAAGAAAGGCTCCAGTGTCGTAGCTCAGCTATGCCCCTGAAGAGTGAGAGGCAAGGGATGAAAAGATGCCGAGTGTCAGGGAGAGGGAAAAGAAGAGCACAGTAAATAGGGCCACTGGGATAGCACCCTGCCTTTCTGGAGCTGGCTTTGAATTTCCGTTTTGATATGACTGTCATTTAAAGCATGTGCTGTGTGTGGGCTCATGGAGAGAGAGTGAACTGCATCCCACTCAGGTGTGTACAACATTCGTCTCCAGTACTAAATATTTTCATTTTAGAGTTTGATTTTGAGGCTATCTATTTAGAATGTGGGCTAAAATTATTTAAATTACATTGAACAATAGCTAGAAACAATGTATTAGAATCATTTCATTTGAGAAATGTAGTAATTTTAACTACTGGATATTTGTTATCTGAGAGACATATTATAGCATTGCAAGACAATAGGAAATTTATTTTTATTTTTACTTTATGTGTATGAGTGTAATGCCTATATTTGTAAGTGCACCCATGTTGTGCATTGCCCTCTGAGGTCAGAAGAGGACATTGGATTTCCCTGGAACTGGAGTTATGGATGGTTGTTAGCCACCATGTAGGTGCCAAACCTGGGGTCCTCTGTAAGAGCAGCCAGTGTTCTTAATCACTAAGTTATCTCTCCAGCCCCGAGTGTTACGTCTGCATGTATGTAAGTGCACCCATGTCATGCCCCTGTGGAGATCAGAAGAGGGTATCAGATCCCCTCCAATCGGTTGTTAGCTGCCATGTGGGTGCTGGGATGCAAACCCTGGTCTTCTGTAAGAACAGCTGGTGCTATAAACTGCTGAGTCAGCTCTCCAGCCCCCACCAATAGGAAGTTTAAAAATAAGTTATGCTCTTTGCTTCACTACACTTATAAGCACAGTAGTTAATACAAAACTCACTTTATCATATATATCACTTAATGCCCCTTGGTACATCAGTCATCATTTACAGCATGAGCTATTTGCATGTACAACAAACATTCCTAATGAAGCTGTGAATGGGCTGACCAAGCCAAGCTTGTAGGCCGTATTATAATGCAGTATGATGCAGTATAAGGCCGTATTATAATGCAGTATGATGCAGTATAAGGCTGTATTATAATGCAGTATGATGCCTTTGCATAGGCAAAAATGTTTTTCTACCAAAATTTTGTGGCTGCTTTGCACCAGAGTGGGGAAAGTGCGTGTGGTGGGATTAGCGTAGGTGGACCTGTATGGTTTCATTATGTTTGATGGAAATCAAACTGTTTGTTTTATAGCTCTCCCTCGAGGGAGCAGTACCAAGGAAGGGTGGGTTCTTTGCCCATCTTTTAAGAATGTCTTTAATGAGTTTTCATGATGATATCTCAGCAGTGAGTCCCTTCTACTTTGCTATACCTCTCCAATAAGAAAGAGTGTGGTTGGGGTGTGCTGAGGAGGGCCCGGGAGTTCTGAATTGTGTAAAGATATTTTAAGTGTTTTAATTGAGGCTATTAGCTTAAAATATAACCCCTCCTTAGTGACCACCAGTATCATCTTAAAAGTGCTCACAAATCTGGCTTAAGCTCAGCTGTAAAGTCCTGAGTGAACCTAGGTATTAGTAAATGTCTTCCAACATAGATAATTGCATGCGTGTACCCTGATAGACTTCTTTTGTCAGGAGTTTGATCTCAGGGTTGGGTACTTATTCAGTTGTTTGAACTGGCTAAATGAAATCAAATAGGGAGTCTCAGAAATCCACCTACCTTGTGCTGATTTTGAGCTGGAGGCATTCCTAAATCATAGGAGGTTTGAATGTCTAATGCTGTGTGCTCTTGATCTGTGCCATTCTGACAGAGGTTAAGCATTGTCAGCTCCAGCCCAATAAGGTTCTTCATGGTTTTGTTCAGAGTACATTTGCCTCACTGAAGACTGAGCTAATCATTATTTTTCACATAACAAATCAAATCAGACTGACACAGAACCAAATCATGTTAAAATGATATGCACAGCTTCAAGCCATTCTTTTTCTTCCCCTCTGGTTTTCTTGCTGAGGTCCAGCGTATAACCTAGTCAGCCTCAGTGGCAGCTGCTCCCTAGAGACCCTGTAAAGGTAAGTGTGGCTGCCCAGTGTCTTTGGGGGCGGCGGGGGGGGGGGCAACAATATCCATATCCCACAATGGATTTTTAAATGAGTTGTAATAGTCATAACAAGCCTCAAATTGAGGGCAGGAGAAGTGGACCTGGCTTCACAGAGCAGAAGGTACCATGAAAGACCATAGCCAGCTTCTTCCAAACTCACTGCTAAAAGTGGATTTCTAATAATTCCAACAGATTATACCTATCAGTAAAAATATGTAATTTTCCCAAGTGCTCTTTTCTCTCTCTTGAAGGAAGTAGTGTTTAGGGAATTATGAACTCGCCTAAGAGCCTTGGGATTTCACTTCATGTACCTTGTTGTGACAAAGGAAAATCCCTGTCCCATTCAGCTTTAGTTCTTTTATCACCATCGACCAGCTGCTTATCGGTATGTACAGGAAAAAATTTCTATATTTAAAGCAACTTCTTCTGAGGTCTTTGAAATACTACATAAATAACCTTTAAAATAAAGGAAAATAGATTAATTTAAAAACCTCAAATATCAGATATAGGTAGTAAACTGTAGGAAACTTACCAACAATTTTTACAGTCTTTGTGAGCTATTTGAATCGACTGTTTGGATTCTCCATCTCCATATCTGCTCTAAAGCTTTATTTTTCAGAGCAGGCTTCAAACATTTGCCATACAATGGCAGTTGACTATTAATCGGAAGGAAGGTCTCTCTCCAGTCCTGTGGTAATTGGGAGAGAAGTCTCCTCAGTGCATTCCCCATGATTATAGCATCTGAACAACACTTGCTGAGGAATGCCAGAATCCAGATACCACCACATGATGGTCTTGTTATGTAGTCAGGCTGGCCTTGAACTCATGATCCTCCTGTTCCAGGCTCCCAAGTTCTGGAATTAAAATTATACACTTGTAAGAAATTTTATCAATCTGATACTCATGTCTGTTGAAAATGACCTTTGTACAATGTGAATATTCTAGAAGAACTTGACACTCCAGTTGTTCAGGCTGAATGTGAATTTAATAAGACTTCGCCTTTTAACTGACACCAGCTGAAATGAGCATAGCAGAACATTTAGCGACAGAAAGATACTTGTGAGTGCTTAGGTGGAGTTGGGAAAGGGCATGAGGGAGTGTCAAGAGAGGACTATGGAAAGGCACTGTGAGCAGACTTTGGTTGGTGCAGTTTTCTGAGGTTAGACTGGCAATGCCATGGTGTGTGAGGATAGTTCACTTGTTTCACACTCATCAGTGCTGAAAAAAGGGTAATATGGCTTAAGTTTTCTGTCATAGTTTATAGAACCTCCCTCCTACCCATTGATTTTATATAATAGTCTGTTACAAATCAATTTTTCAAGTATTTCAGACTTGCTAAACTAGAGCTGAATACTCAGTTTGTATTCAAGGAGTGTGTTGGAAATTAAATCTACCTGCTTCAGGATAGCAAATGAAGATAGACTCTTAATAGCAGTCTTCCTGTTCGTTCTGAGCCATCCTGTTTTATGTCAGGGCGTCATGTTGAAGAATTTGGAAACATGGGTCCATTTCCCTGTGTTCACACAACATGGGGAACCATCCACTGCCATGAAATTAGCAAAGTCAAACTGGGTTCTTAGGAGACTCATTTAAAAAAAATCATTAACTAAAGGCAGATTGACAACATACTTCATACAGCTTTATGAATCTTGTCATGGGAAGCCTGTTATTCAGAGTAGTCTGAATTCATATACATGTTATTTTAGGTCTGTAAAGCTCAGAGGGATTTTTAGTACTACTATATTACTGGAGAAAACCTATCAAAATAGCCCAGTCATTTGAATTGCCTACTGGTATACCCCGAGGATTTGGATATAAAAGCCCCACATTTTAAAGAATAAGGTTAATCGCAGTTACACCATATTTTACAGCCCCAGGGTTTACCAAGTGTTATATGTAAATGACTGCTTTAAAGATTTACTTAAATTGATGAAATACCTTCCTTTCCATAATGCTTATGTTTAATATTTGTAACTGTGCTCTAAGCCTTGTAGAATCTTTACAGTCATGGTAGTATTACTGCAACTGCCATTAAATAAGTGATAGATGAAGTGATGCCATGCCACCAGTGGGAGAGCCCAGAGTCCTGAAAGTGGGTTGCACAAGTACTTCTTCCTGGTTGCAGGGCAGGAACCTTACACACTGATGCACAACCAGACCATGCATTTGGAGGCTGCTGGGGTGTAAGAGGGGTGAATGTGCTTTCACACACTTTCTGCTTGCAACTGTCATTAAATAAGTGATAGATGAAGTGATGCCATGCCACCAATGGGAGAGCCCAGAGTCCTGAAAGTGGGTTGCACAAGTACTTCTTCCTGGTTGCAGGGCAGGAACCTTACACACTGATGCACAACCAGACCATGCATTTGGAGGCTGCTGGGGTGTAAGAGGGGTGAATGTGCTTTCACACACTTTCTGATCTCCCGGAGTAGTGGAGCAGGGGCATTACTTCCATTTTGTACACAGAAGAGCCACCAGGTCAGATAACTCCAGGATACCCAGGACTCAGATTCTACTTGGTAGAAGAGAATCTAGTCTTAACTGCAAATCAGAGCATATTCTTAAAAAAGGTTATTCCTGCTCTTCTGATTGGCTATAGTTTAGAGGTGTCATTTATTAACAAGCTGGTCATTCCTCACAAATTGCCATTTCCCCAGCAGAACAGTTGTGACCTTTTGATTCCTTCTTTATAGATGTGGAATATAAATAATTATACTAGCTTATGGTTTAATTAACATGACTCCTGCAAACCTTAATTGTGCCTGTTCACATTTTAGTGGAACTTGCTATCATGGTTAATGAATGTATCAGTCCACAGCATCTGTACAAATTGCTGGAGCCATATGGTTGGAGCACTGTTCAGTGGACAGTAGTTCAGATTAATCTCACACTCTTACTTAGGGGTTACATCAACTACAATGAAACATCTTGAGGTCATCATATCTTGGTGTGGAGTTGTTTATTTACTTATCCATGTATACAGGCTTGAAGATTTGACCATAATTTACATGAACATTGATACCAATAAAGACGATTAGAGAAAAGCAACAAATCAATATTAGTGGTAGTAAGGCACAACCTGAATCTGTAGTTTTTAGAGTGGAAAGGGATAAGATTTTCCCCCATTAATAGCAACAAAGAATTAGCTATTTAGCCTTTTGGCACGCTGCCCGTTAAATACAGAATGGAGCTGATTTTTCAGTTATTGACAGCTCCTCTGTCATCCTTTAGAAGAGTGTTTCTCAACATGAGATTCTAGAGTCCCTTTGGGTGGCTTGTGAGCTGGAACAATGCTTTTTGATTATTTTGTATCCAAACTTGAACCAAGACTGACACGAACTAAAACTTTACTGATAGTTGCTCAGAGATGCTATTCATGGAGTTATTTCCATTGATGCCCCAGCTTCATGAGCATCTAATTGTGAATTTCTTGGCAGTTAAGGAAAGTAGTCCCTGGAGTACAAGTGCATCCTCAGATGTTCAAGCCAATGCTAGGGCTAGGCAACTGCTTTATGGGAACTGAATAGTTGTCTGGAATTAGCATAGAACACAGTGGGTCACTTATACTCCAAGTGACACTTCTGATGTAGATAAAATGGAGAAGGTGGGGAGAAAGGTACACACACACACACACACACACACAGTCCCTAAGCTTTGGGATGCTTTGTACCTAGCAAGTAGTCGGAAATGTTTTTCCCCAAAGGAATGCTTCATCATGGTTGCCACCAGGAACAAACTGGTCATGAGAATATAGGAAAAGCAGAAAGACGGAAATGAAAACTTGGGGATAAAATCAGTATTTCATAAGCATATGTATAAAATTTAATTGGTTCCTGATTCCATTTCATAGAAATAAATTTCATCTGTGAAAAGCAGGTTTGGAACTCCCACTATAACATGTCAACATCAACTTCAGCTCTCCAAGCAGTTCTTAATTCCTTTTTTCACTGCCACTTTGAGGAAAAATGCTTTGTTTTAATCTGCATTTGATAGGTATATAAATTATGCTATGAATATTTTATCACATTTATGTTCCCAGTATACCAGGGATCTCATGACTAAGGGAGAGGAAGCTCAGGGGAACAGGGGAAGGATGGATATCGGGTTCTAGGACTGCTGGAGAGCCTGTTCCTCCAATAGCCCAGTCCATCATGATGAGCTGGAACTCCTGTTTGGGAAGGTTTTGGTCAGATGTATCAACACACATGTCCACAAATGGCTTCTTTCTATGCTTTGATGTAGTGTGGCTGCTTGAAAGTGTTTGCTTTTAATTAATCCTATTTGAATAGTGGAAAGTTCTAAAGTAATTTAAATCTTGAGCTAAATCCAGTAGGAAACCTCACACTCAATATTTTTACTTTTTAGTAAGAAGATTTTTCTTAAGGCATGAGGTATATTAACAGGGCGTCTGAATCTCTGGATCTCTACTGGTGTTTTATCATATGCAAAGCACTTGCGATGTATGCATTCGTTTAGATGACTATATACACATTTTTCTCTACACTATGAACTATTCACGACATTTTTTTTTTTTTTACAATCGGTGATGAGTTGGGACAATTAAAATCATCTAACCATCATCTACAGCAATGTTAAAGCTTATGCCTTTTCCAAGTAAAAAATGTCTTTTCCCCATGCTGAGTCATTGCAATTAATTCCTTTATTTTTGTTCCCTCGCCCCTCGAATGGTCCATGTCCGCATCAATAACAAGGAAACATAGGACTTCCACTAATGAGGTACGGAAGCAGCTGGCTCTGGCTACACGGAAGCAGAGAGCACACAAAATTGGAAAGGAGTATAGGGGAGCGAACAACGACCATGCACAGAAACCTTATGCAACCAACCTGGGCCTTGCACTGATCGCTTTTTTTTTATTTTTTAAATGGCATTTTCCTCTTTTGGAAGGATAGAATGAACCCATGCTCAAACTCTTTCTAAAGCATTTTGAAAATAGTCTTTTTTTTTTTCAATGTGGCACTTCAAAACAAGTTGGCACAAAATGAAAAGTGACATTTGGTCTCTGGTTTGGGGTGGAGCCTTTGAGTCTCCCTCGGGGTGGGCTCTTGCTCCCCCAGGGCGAGCGAGGCCTGTGAGCGCTGCCAGGCTCAGGGCCCGGGCTGGGTCGCGCTGCTCTTGTTTTTCAGAACACTGTCCTCCAAGTGGCCGGCCCCCGCCGTGGCCTCCAGGGGTAGGCCCTGCTGCTGGTAGCCATAGTTGACGTTCCCGCAGGGGAAGTGGCGCAGCCTGAACAGAGGCACCTCCTTCATGCTGGCTGTCAGCGCCGACGGCTCGAGCAGCAGCGCCGCCCCGGCTCCTCGCGGCCCGGGCACGCCCGGCCGGGTCCAGCCGCCCTCGCAGCCCGCACCTGCCCGGCCCTGCGGCTCCGCGGCCGCCCGAGGAGCGTGCTTTTTAGCCGGTTTCTCCGCGAACCACGAGCCGTAGGTCGGGTTCCACAGGCTGGTCGGCTTGTTTCTGGATCCCGGGGCCTTGTGCAGCTCGGCCGGCGGGTTGGACTGAGCGAACGCCATGTTCACGTGCCCCCCCTCGGCGGCAGGGCCTCGAGGGACCCGGCTGGAGCCCGCGCCCGCGGCCGGGGCCTTCTTCACCGCTTTGGCGGGCGCCGCCTGGGCGGACTGCTGCTGCGGGGCCGCGGGCGCGTCCTCGTGCTTGGCGGGCGGAGACACCAGCAGAGGGGGCATCCCCTCGGGGTCTTTGGGCCTCATGGGTACTTTCTCCTCCTCTTCCACCACCGGGCCATACTCTATGGGCAGAGCGGTGTTGATGACATCTGGGTCCTAGGGAAGGAAGGGAGGAGAGGTGGTGGATGAAAACGGCATCGCACAGTTCTGGATCTGGAGGAGACCGGAGATAGCAGCCTCTCAACTTGTTCATAGGAACACATAGGCATCAGTAAGGAGTCACTCATTTTCCTAGAAGGCCCTAGAAGAAAGCGCTGGAATAGGAGGGGGTGCCGGGTAAGTATTCACAGGCTGGGTCAGCGGAATGGGAGCATTGCAGAGCATTTCTTTGGCCAAATCCTACAGATTTAGTTTTTAAATTACATTTAAATTTATTGTGGGTGTATGTGTGTGAGCGTGCATGTGCCATGGCTAAGGACAACCCGAGGGATTCCCTTCTCTCTCCACCCAGTGGGTCCCCGGGTTTGAACCCAGGTTGTGGGAGCAAGTACCTAAATCTACTGAACCATCTTGTTGGCCTATTTGTTTTTTAATGTTACTTAAATTATGATCTATTCCCAATAAAAATTCTTCCAACTTAAAAGACAAAAGGCAGTGTGACTCCTGTTTTGTATGCTGTAGGAAGGGTGGGGGAAAGGGAGGGAGGGAGGGAGGGAGGGAGGAGAGAGAGAGAGAGAGAGAGAGAGAGAGAAGAGAGGAGAGAAATATGCTTGGTTCACAAAGGGTGCCTTTTGCCAGCTCCCTAACTACCTGCACAACTGGGGAGGAACTGGGGAGGCCAGATGGGAGGAAAAGGAGATGAATGAATTTCGGGGGGGAGTGGGGGGCTGGGGGGCTAGGACACCCAGAGGGAAATGTGATGCCCCCTGAAACCCCATGAAATGCCCGTATAGTGTCTAAACATTACTGCATATGTATACCTGGGAACTGTTTGGCAAGGAACACAGTGCCAGACAGAAGTGCCAAACTCCCGGGAGGCCAGATGGGAGGAAAAGGAGATGAATGAATTTCGGGGGGGAGTGGGGGGCTGGGGGGCTAGGACACCCAGAGGGAAATGTGATGCCCCCTGAAACCCCATGAAATGCCCGTATAGTGTCTAAACATTACTGCATATGTATACCTGGGAACTGTTTGGCAAGGAACACAGTGCCAGACAGAAGTGCCAAACTCCCTTTGAGTGGTTGGTGAGGGTGGTCCAGGAGATTCTCAAAATAACACAGGCTATTGCCAAACCTCTTGGTTATCCCCCAGAACTAGTAGGTAAGACCCTACTGCTGAAGACAGGACATGCTTCGGATACAGGACTTGGAGCAATGGAGCGGGAACTGACCTGGAGGCCTTCTACCCGAAGTTTAGCTATCATAATGCTAGATGATGATATGCAAATTGCCAAGGGAGAAAAACAATCAATTGTTCAACCCAGCCACCCTAAAGCCTAATAACCATAACGACCAGCATGGCAAATGACCTTTATTGGTATAGTAGTGGCACTGTTATCTGGGGGGCAATCAAGAGCTATCTGATTGGACTTAAAGCCCCCTCAATGGAAATGAACTCATGAGTGGCACTGTAAACTCAGCCAAATACACATGGCACGAGAGGGCATAGATCTAGAGAAAATCCTATTTCTTTCATGTAGACAAATGAAATTTCTTACCGTATGCTAAATATGGATCCTTATATTTACACATAAGCATACCATACACTACTCATCAAGGAAGCTTCTTTTTGCAACAGATGTAGGCTACTGCAGAATTTCAAAGCTGGTCAGACACAGAGAATATACATCTGATAGATATGCCCAGTACTAGGTGACACATCTACAGTTGAACCTCTACACCTAAGGCTCATGGAACATAGCAGTACAAGGGGTAGAGAGAAAACTAATGCATCCCTTAACTCTCACCAGTAAAGCTTCCTTATACAACAGAGTGTGATGCACACAGAAGGCCACGACTGGCCATGTTTTAAAGAATAACAGACTGCAGAGTGTGCATCCTTGGATAGGACTCCTATATTGAACCTCACCCACCCATAGCTCAGAGACTATTGCAGAAGTGGGGGGGGGGCAGGGGGCAGAAAGACTGTAAGAGCTAGGGCTGGTTCATGAACACAGGGAAGCAGAGGCTTTCAGGCCACTGGATTGAGAACTATTGGAGACTGATTGCTACTGTGTAAGAGGGAGTACACCTTACATATATATGATCTCTAGATGGACTGGCTAGACTCCAGTTGATGCATTGACATTGAAGACATCTGGGTACAAATGCTTGACTGGATAGGACTTAACATGTATGGCAGAATACATGAGGTCCAATGGGGATATGGGAGGCATGGATGGGGGAGGGTAGCTAAATTTGATTAAGAACTATTGTATGAAATTACAAAAGCTCAATAAAAACTTTAAAAAACAAGTAAATTAAAAAAAACAGCATGGTGTTATATCATTGTGGTAATTTGAATGAGAAGTGACTCACATAGGCTCAAGTATTTGGACACTTGGCCAGTTGCTGGTGTGTGTTGAGGGGTGGTCCTGGAACCTTTAGGAGGTATGGTTTTGCCAGAGGAAGCAGGCCACTGGGGATGGGCTTTGAGAGTTCGTAGTCTTACAGTCTTGTCTCCTTTCCAGCCCCCCCCCCACCCCTCACAGGTGGTTGAAGATGTGAGCTCTCTGGAACCCGAAGCCCAAATAAACTCTTCTATAAGTTGCTTTGGTTCTTAGTGTTTGCTCACAGCAACCTAAAAGTAAGACAGTCATTCTCACAGTCATAGACTCTAACAGGAAAGCAGACCTGTTGCCACAGTCAGGAAAAAGTTGTGGAAGAAAGCTGGGGAGATTTAATTCAGTAATATTTTATGCAAATTGGGGAAAAACCTCCATTACTTGGGTTTTACAGAAGAGTGCATTGGTCCAGTATTCATCAGTAAAAAGAGTTTAAAGTAGAATTAAAGACAACTATTTTATAACAACCCTTTCCATTTCTCCCCTGGGTCTTTCATAGTGAGTCATTTAAAATATGCAGATGTAAAATCACCTGCTTTTGAAAGAGGTATTATATATTCTGGAGAAAACACCCCAAAGAAGGTTTGTGAATATGTGTGTTTATTAGTGTATTCCATTCATATCATAACATAATAAACCAAATGTTATTAAGTAAAGTTCTCTGAAACTCCTCTGCTCAGATAACATGGTCAGTGATGCCCACCTAGAGAAGGATGCAGCTCACTTTCAGCACTGAAAGCCTGGGGGTTGGAATACTGCAGCTAGACAGTGGCTATAGTTTGCAGAAAGAAGACAGACTGGGAAGGGGCTTGCTGCCGTGAGTAGTGGCAGACCCTGGCAAGTATGTGCCAGAGATGGGAGGAAAGGCGCGCTCAGTCCCTGACTGCTGTACCTCTGTGCATCTGAGGAGTGGGAGGCAGTCTGCTGGAGAGCAGGCACAATTCAGTCAGGACTGAAGGAAGTAGGGGCGGGGTGTATGGGGGCTCAGGATTGCTAGAGATCCTTGTGACTTGGACAGCCTCTCCAAGCCCATCCGTCCTCTATAAAGTGGAATAAAACAAAACCTCAATGAGAATAAAATCAAAGAACAGAAGAAAAGCTACTTGGGCAGTGTAATTCTGTACAAATGCTGCTGATGGTGTTAAAATGTCTCCAGACTGGTTTAGCAATTATATACTGTTACTATTTATTTCACACTATTTGTCCAGCCAAGCTATAAAATTTAAGGGTTTCATACTTAAATTTTTTTTTTTTTTTTAGAGACAAGGTCTTGCTGTAACTCTAACCGGTCTGGAACTCATAGACAAGGCTAGGCCTTTGCCTCCTGAAGTGCTGGGATTAAAGGCGTGTGCCACCATGCCTGGCTCAAGTTCTCATACTTTTTTAAAGCTGCATTTTCACCTACAAAACATTAGCACTCCAGCAGGGGCTTTGCTAATATTTGTGAACTGAACTGATTCCCTGCTATGACCACCTGGCACTGTATCAGGTGCTGGTGAAGAAAGTGGACGGAAGTGAGATACCAATCATATCATTTCACAGGTCAGGAATATTCAGTTTCATGATCATCAATCTTATTCTCTGGTCAAACTTTCATTTTATATTTTGATATCTTTAAAACTTTTCAGTATAGACTCAATGCTGGTCAAGGGGGGGAAACATGTATACCTGGGTGCAGTATTCAATCCTCTCCAAAATGATGGCAAAGTTGGGTCTGTCTTCAGGTTGATGCTGCCAGCACTGAGTCATTATCCGGTATCTGAAATAATGAACACATTAATGAGAGTCAGGAGAAGCACACTGAAGACCCAGTTCTTTTCTAAACCTGGCCAAGGGCTTCGACCCATCTTGAAGGGTGGGAAGGCATTAAGTCCATGTGGTTGAACTATGCTGCCCCCTGCTGATGAACTAGGAAAATCACACCCAAGAGTAAGGTGTCTAAAGACAACTCCCACAAAAGACTCTCTGGTATTTACATCAAACACTACTTCTCTCATTCCATTCCTGACTTAAAGGCGCGTTTAAGATGGAGCATTCTATTCTCCATCTCTCTTGCTTGTGGAAGGGAGGTGAGGGATGCCATGCGGGACAGAAGAAAACACAAGGAAGAGAAATTTTTAAGGGAGACTTAGACATAGGGCGCAGGGCAGTTAGGGTGAGGCTGGGACACACATTCTTAGGGGTGCTTGAGGTGTGTGAGTCTAGGGAGGCTCCACAGCCTCCAGCCAGGCTGCAGATACCTTTCTGGGATGGTATTATTGCTTTTGAAAGGCTGGAAGATTAACCAATCTAACAAGTCTCTGGCACACTCCTGTCGGGGCATATTAAAGGAAGGCCTTTAATCTTAAAGGGGTATACGTGGATCCAAATATTTAAAAAATAAAATTGTGCTCAGTTTCTAGGAGGAAGTTCCTAAGAGTCATACACAGGCCCGGGGCAGTTCTTAGGTGGGTCCATCCGTCCTCCACTGGTGACAAACTCCAGAACTTCCTGGTTACTTTTACTGGGGTATGGCATATACCCAAGAGAAAATATTTCCCACAGCAACACTCCAAAAGACCTAGACATGGAACAGAAGATACGTATATGAATCTAGATATGGATGTGTGCATATACACAAAGACCTCTAAATTTTTAAAATATTTTATTTATTATTTTTAAAGTGTATGAGTGTATTGCCTGCATATACGTGAGTGCACCCGTGTCATGCAATGCTGCGGAGGTCAGAAGAGGGCTTCAGATTCCCCTGGAACTGGAGTTAAGGATGGTTCGTAGCCGCTGTGTGGGTGCTGGGAATTGAACCCAGGTCCTCTGCAAGAGCAGTCAGTGCTCTTAACTGCGGAGCCATCTCTCCAGCCCCAAGACCTAAAATTTTAATATTTTCTCCATTATGCCTTTTTCTGTAACAAAGGACTCAAGTGTGTGTGTGTGTGTGTGTGTGTGTGTATGTGTGTGTGTGTGTATGTGTGTGTGTGTGTGCGCACACATGTATGTGAAGGCCAAAGGACAAGAATCTTGAGTGTTGTTTCCCAGGGGTCATCCACCTAGTTTTTTAAGGATTTACTTATTTTATATGTGTGTGCCACATGTGTGCAGGCACCACAGAGGCCACATGACATCAGATCACCTGGAGCTGAAGTTACGTGGTTGTGAGCCACCCACTGTGGGTGCTGGAATCTCAACTTAGGTCCTCTGGTTTTTTGAGACAGGGTCTCAGTGACCCGGAATTTACCAAGAAGACCAGGCTTTCTGGCCTGTGAGCCCCAGGGATCCACCGAGTTCTAGGATTACAAGTAGGTACCACTGAACTCAGCATTTTTTTTTTAAATGTGGGTCCTGGAGATTAAACTCAGGTCCTCATGCTTGCAACTCAGAAGCACTCCACTGATAGAACTATTTCCCCAGCCCCAGAGGACTCTTAAGATTCAGAAAACTAAAAAGAATGAGAAAGTACCACTTGTGATTCTCTATTAAAGAAACCACTGTTAACATATTTTTGTTCCAACCAAGCTTCTGTGCCTAGATAGTTTTTAACCTAATTGTAGCTATAGAACCTTGATATTTTTGCACAGTTCATTATAGCATAATCATTTCCCATCCTAATAACATTTTAAAAATAGAATTTGAAAAGACTGTAAAATATTCTATTGAGTTGTGCCATGATTTGCCTTTTCACATTGTTTTTAGTTTTCAAAATATTTAAGACAGTTTGTGAACATCTTTTTACACATTGGCTTTAGTTTATTTCTTTTGATGACAGAGTCTCCTGTATCTCAGGCTGGCCTTGAAATCCCTGTGGAGTCCAGCTGACCTTAAACTCATAATTCTCCTGCCTCATTCTCTCTAGTTCTGAGACTATAGGCTTTGGTCCCCACACTTGGCTCTTTGTTCTTTTTCAAAGGAGGGCTTCCTTTGGATAAACCATGTGAAGCTAACAGAATGATCTAGTAAAATCAAGGATAATTCTAGTACCATATTCAAAAGAATATGAATACTGAAAACTTCTTGGAAAATATGGTTGGTTTCAAACACACCACTGTATTCCCTCCGCAGCAGCATCTAAGAGTACAACAGATGGGCTCACCAACACTCTGTGTATACCAATAATAAATTTTTCTAATTTTAGAGTAAAATACAGTGGAATATCTTTTTACGGTATTAAAAGAACTCAAACTGGAAATATTTCCAACTATTTTAACATTTATTTTTTAAAACGTTTATTTTTATGTTAATTATGTGTATGCATGTGTGTCTGTGTAGGGTGTGTGTGCACATGAATGCAGGTGTCTGCGGAGACCAGAAGAAATCATTGGATCTCCTTGAACTGAAATCATAGGTGGTTGTGAGGTGCCCATATGTTGGTGCTGGGAGCTGAACTAGGGTTCTCTTCAAGAACAGAACACCTTCTTAACCACTGAGCCATCTCTCTAGGCCCCTACATTTATTTTTAATTAATTAATTGTGTGTCTATGTAATTGTGGGCATGCACATGCCATAGTGCACCTGTAGAGATCAGAGGACAACTTGTGGGAGTCAGTTCTCTCCTTCTACCATGTGCGTTCTGGGGATTGAACTCAGATCATCAGACCTGTTGGCAAGTGCCTTTACTTGCTGAGCCATCTTGCCAGCACTGGTGGACTATCTTAAGTCATGTGTTTTGACTAGTATCTTAATTTTGCTCTTGGGTTGTAGACATTCTATGTATCAAAAAATGTCAGCCCTATAAAAATGCAAGTGCTTGTTTTTTGTGGGCACAGTGTGGGGAGCAGTACTGGGAATTAAATCCAGGGCCTTGCACATTCTAGGCAAGCACTCTTCCACTGAGTTGAAATCTCCAGTTGTCTTTTCTTTTCTTTTCTTTTCTTTTCTTTTCTTTTCTTTTCTTTTCTTTTCTTTTCTTTTCCAAGTGTCATATCAATAGATATCCAGTGCCCTAAACTGTCAAGTGTTTCCAGTTTTCTTGAACACATCTCCCTACAGAAGCTCTCCCTGTTGATTCTTTGTGTCCATCTTGTGACTGAATACTGTCACCACTCAATAGTGGCATGCCAGGGAAAACGAGACCTCTCAATGTTGCCATCTCCAGGGCAGGCTGCAGCACATCAGTCCTGCTTTGCTTAAAATATTCTGAATTCTTATAGTGAGGAAAATGTTCAGAAAGATGTAATCAAGGGAGGCTGAAAAGAATGAAGGGTTAGAAAGAAGCCCCATGAGAGATGGCCCTTTCCAGGCTGTGGAACTGCACATTCTGTGTCCCAGGCTTCCTCTCTCAGTAATTCTCCCTGGACACTAGGCTGATTAGTTTGAAGAAATAGCTTGCATATGTGTGTGGGGTAGCTGGGGAGATGGCTCAGTGGATAAAGCACTTGCCACATAGCATGAGGACTACAGTTCAGATCTATAGCAGCCATGCACAAGTTAGGCAGGTGTGGTGGCTGCTTGCCATTCCATTTCTTTTCCCTTTTTTCTTTTAATTTTGGGAAGTTGATCAAACTGGCCTTGAACTCACTCTGTAGCCAGGCAGGCTTTAAACTTGCAATCTTCCTGCCTCAGCCTCTTAAGGAGCTATGATTGCAGGTGCTCGTCACCAGATGTAGCAGAAATACTTCCAGTAGTTGCTTTACAATCTTGCTTTTTAATGTATCAAGATTCATATTTTTATGTATTTCAATATATTTTTTAAAAGTTTGTGATTTCTTCCATTTATTTTATAGTTATGTAATCTTTTCTTCACCAAAGCTTAGATAAATATTTGCTATTTTCTAGGTGTGTTTGTTTTTCTCGCTTCTCAAATTCAGCTGGAATTTAATTTGAGGTAGAGTGTGATGGAAAGATCAAAATTGGTTTGTTTTTCTGAACAATGGCTCTTTCAATACTTCATAAAATAATTTCTCCCTTACCTATTGACTTATGATTAAGAACAGGGATGTTTCTCAGCCTACTAATCTTCTCACTTCATCTGTTTGCTTCTTGCCTTGAGTACAGTCTGCTTTACTTTTTCTGTCTGTGTTTTATTATTGAATAAGACATTTTTCTCTTTAAAAGTATATTTGATTTCTTGGGGCTGGAAAGATGGCTCAGTGGTTAAGAGCACTTGCTGTTCTTGTAGAACCTGGGTTTGACTACTTGCACCCATATGGTGCTTAACAATCATCTGTAACTCCAGTTCCAGGGGATCTGATGCCCTCTTCTGACCTCCTTGAGCACTGTATGTATGTGGTGCACTTAAACATATGCAGGCATAACACTCATACACATAATAAATAAATAAATAAAATATAAAAAATTGCTTTTTTTTTTTTTCTTATTGAGACAGGGTCTCCCTATAGCCTCAGCTGGCCTGAATTCACTATGGAAACCAGGCTGGCCTAGATCTCATAGAGATCCACCTGCCTGTGCCTCCTGAGTTCTGATTAAAGGTATGTGCCATCAATGGCTGGTTCAATATTTGCTATTTTGATGACAATTTTTTTCAACCCTTAATTTAATAAGTTTAATTAGGTTTTTCTTGTTGTTGTTGTTGGGAGAGAGGTATCTGGCTGTAGCTCAGGCTGGTCTGAAACTAGGTAGCCCATGTTGGTTTCAAACTCCCAATCCTCCTGCTTAAGCCTCTTGAGTACTGGGATTACGTGTGTGCTGTCTGCCACATGTTTTAAGAGACTTTAGATATTATTTTGCTTTCCTGGCATCAGTTTTCCTTTTCTTTTTAAATAAATAAAACAGATACTGATGGACTCCATCTCCATCCATTTCCTCCCTCCTTCCCCTCCACTGAAGTTAAAATATATTTTCCTCTAGTTTGTTTCCGTAGTTTTAAACAATGTGTGAGGACATACACATTAAGACTCTATATTACAGATTTTTGCATTTTAAAATTGTACTAAAATATTACCATATTTGTAGTTTTCCTTCTGTTCTTGCTGGCTATATATTGGGGAAGAACATCTCTCCACGTTCATCCAGGTGTAGTATGTTCTTTTTATACTGCTGGACGATTGTCTATCCCCTTTCCTTCCATCCTCTGCTCGAGGGAGGGTTAGGTTGTTGTTGCCTTTTCTATATTGTAAACCATGAACCAATGTACATCTTTGCCCAAGTCCAGTTGTATCAACTCTTATTGAATGTAGACACCCAACAGTAGAACTCATAGGATCCACATGTATTCAGAAGACTCACTAAATTAGTGACATTATTCTGCCCCTGGGTAGGCTAGGCGGCTGGTGGTCTCCCTTTGGTGCCCATGTGACTCCTCTGGAGTGTTTGTTAAACTATATTGCCCTCATGCTTACGGGTCTTTGCTTCTTTTATTTACTCATTTATTTAATTTTATGTGTCTGAGTGTTTTGCATCCGTGTAGGTGCACCCATATCATGCAATGAGCAGGGAGGTCAGAAGAGGGTATCAGATCCCTGGAACTGGAGTTAAGGATGGCTGTTAGCTACCATGTGGATGCTGGGAACCAAACCTGGGTCCTTTGGAAGAGCAGCTAGCGATCTTAACCCCTGAACCATCTCTCCAGCCCCCAAGTTCTTGCTTCTTGAGAGAAGCTGAGAATTGCATTGCTAATGAGTTCCAGGTGATTTGCTCTTGTTGACCTGTGAACTGTACTTTGAGACCCATGGGGTTAGGACAAGGCAAATGTCACTGATTTAGAAACAACGAAAGTTCTTTTTGTTCATAATAACCAGCATGGATCAGGAACGGGGGCACGGCCATCTGAGGACATCATCTCAATGCAAGGCTTTCTGAACTTAAGGACATTCCCATTGCCTTGTGTTGCCTGTGTTTCCACACCACTTTGATTCCCAGACTTTCGTCTCTGATCGTTCTTACTGTTTCCTGATCTTCCTTCTTACAGGCATGCAGAATCTTTACCACCACATGAAATTCCATGATGATTCGTTCATGTGTGGATCTTTCCTCATGTGGTCTGACACTGGACACCTTTATTTTCAAGATTTATATACTGTTCTGGGAAATGTTGAATTATCACTTTGACACTTTCATTTTCTTTATTTCCTGTGCCCTTCTTTCTACGACTTCTATTTTGGTAGCTTATCAGATCAATTGTGTTAATCCTCTCAATTTTCTTCTTTTCTTTCCTACGTCTCCTATTTCTTTAGAATTGTTTCACTTTCTAGAAGATTTACTTAATTCTATATTCCAACTTGTCTATTACTTTTACATTTCCGTTATCAGATTAAAAAAAATAAACTTCATTTTTTAGAAGAGTTCACATTATGAAGAGACTGTATTATAAATGCAGTGTTCTCATGGACTCCACAAACTCGATTCTGGCTATTTTTAGCATCCCATTAACATGATACATTTGTTACAATTAATGGACCAGTATTAAGGCATTATTAACTAAAACCCATAGTTTATTCAGATTTCCCCAGTTTTTACTGAATTTCCTTTTTCTCTTCCTGAATCCCATGAAATTGTCACATTGCACTCGGCTGTGGCATTTCCCCAGGCTTCTCTTGACTGTGAGTCTCCAGACTTTCCTTGATTTTGGTGACCTTGAGGAGTTTGAGCAGTTCCGGTCAGGGATTCTGTGGAATGTCTCAGTTGGGACTTGTCTCTTTTCCTCATGATTACCCTAGGGCTGTGGGATTTGGGGAGGAAGACCACAGAGGTGACATGCCATTTGCATCCCCTCTCCTCTCAGGTGCACGCTATCAAGGTGACATGGCTGCAGTGTTGGCTGTATTTGTCACTTTCTCCACTGTGAGTCTCTCTTTGCTCTGCCTTCCCAACCCTGTGCTCTTTGGAAAGACAGTGTTATCTACACTCACAAATGCCTCAGAGGGGCTCCTTGAAGGTATCTATCATAATATTTCTACTCCTAAGAACTTTACCCCTGGGCGCACCTGTGTGGGTGCCTGTGGCAGCCAGAGATTGAAGTCCGGGATGATCCTCCATCACACTTCCATTTTAGTCACAGAGACAGGGTCTCTCAATCAAACCCAGAGCTCACTGATATGAGTAGTCGAGATAGCCAGCTTATTGTGGGGATTCTGTCTCTGCTTTCCAAGGCTGGAATTACAGGTGGGCGCCATACCCACCCTGTATTTAAGTGGGTTCTGCAGATCTTGCGTAGCAAATGTTTTGACCATTGAGCAGCCTCTCGCTCTTCCTCAAAGCATTGTTTTAAATAACTGCTTGCCTTTCACTTAGTCTTGCAACTTTAAGGTGGGCTGAGAGCAGGGCTTGTGATGCTATTATCATTTAAAATTTTTTCCGTGTTTTACATTTTCTTCCTTTCTTCTGTGTTCCTTATTTGTTTGCCTCCTTCAGATTAGAATCTTCTATCAAATAGTCATTGGTTCTTGAGCGACTGCTTCTGTTTTAAGTCTGAATTACTTAAAGCCGGTGGGAAGCTCTGTGTAAGTGAGGCTTACTAGCCGGCGTGATGGTTTGATCAGGTGTGGTTCTTTCCCATGGCGGTTGTAAGAAAATTGCCATTCATTGGTCAGTTTAACAAAACAGAAATTCATTCTTGGATGGTCCTGAAGTTTGGCCATCTGAAATTAGCTTTGCTGGGCAGAAGTCACCATGTTAGTGTGGTCTTGCCAGCTCCCAGGCCCTAGGGGAAAGCCTGCTCCTGTCCTTCCTTCTTTCAACTTCTGGTGGTAGCTGGAGTCCCTTCATGTATACACACTTCACTCTGGTCTCTGAGGGCACACTGTTCACTCCTCTTGTCTGTGGCAATTTTCCCATTCCCTCCCACTAAGCAGAACACTGGTCATGTCATTTGTTCCTTCCCTGTAGATCATCCAGGAAAAAACTACTCCACTTCAGGATCACACCTGCTTCACGAGGCTTGAGGTGGGGCTGAGAATTTGTGCTGCTAATGAGTTCCAGGTGATCTGTTGCTGCTGCTCTGCGGACTGCACTTTGAGACCCACTGGGTTAGTGCAAGGCAAATCTCACTGGCTTAGAAACAACCAAGGTTCTTGGTTACAATATGCAACATGGATCAGGGCTCTACCATCTTAAGACATCACTGTTGTATTGGCTAAGAATTGTGAGCTTCTGGGATTAGAACCTCTGGCCTCCAGTAGCATGTTTCAGCCTAGCTCTAGGCAGTCCCACTCAACAGTACCTGCTCTTCATTGTCCACTTTGCCCATGAATTCACTCATCTCCTGCCTGATTGCCAGTGTTCTCGGTGTTAAGAGAAAAGAAAGGTGGGGGGGGCACATACCTTTAAGTAGGTAGACTTTGAAAACTACTGTTCTTGTATATAATCAAGTATTCACTCTTGCTGATGATGTCTGTGTCTCCAATACTAGAGTAACTTTGGTTAAATCTCTTTGGTTGGAGAAACCAGGCTTGATGGTAGAGGAGGGACAGTCTACCACCCTCAGGGGATCGAAGGGCTGAGTCAGAGGATTTGGTTAGCTCCTAAGTAGATCTTCAATTAACTTTACTGTCTGCTGTACCCCTAGTTCCAATTCCTGTGTGGTCCTGGGACTCTCAGGAGACCAAGCAGCTTGCTTCTGGACCTGAACTTTTGGTTCAGATGGGAATATTTTGCTTTTCTTAGAAAGGGACACCTGTCTGTGAACTTGTCAGTGTGAAATATAACATTTGTCTTTAGTGTCTTCTCTCTCATTGTGGATTTTAACGCAATTCAAAGATTCTCTTTACTGAGAAGTGTGTGTGTGTGTGTGTGTGTGTGTGTGTGTGTGTGTGTGTCACACTCTTGTGTGGGAGCTTAAGTTCAATTTGCCATTTAAAATGACAAGGGTGGGGGCTGGAGAGATGGCTTAGTTGTTAAGTGCACTGACCACTCTTGCAGAGTACCTGGGTTCGATTCCCAGCACCCACATGGTAGCTAACAACTGTAACTCCAGTTCCAGGGGATTCAATGCCTTCTTCTGACCTCCGAGGGCACTGTACAACACAGATGCATTTACATGTAGGCAATACATTCATACACGTAAAATAGAAATAATAAATTAAAAAAATGACAAGGGAGTCTCAATGTGTATGGCCTTCAAGCCAGCAAAGTCAGCATCACTTGAGAACTCTCTAGCAAAGCAAGTGTTCAGCTGGATCCCAGGTCTTCTGATTTAAACTCCAAGGGTGGGAGTCTGGTAATCTTTACTTTAAGAAGCCTTTCTGATGATTCTGATGAAATTTCAACACTTGGGAACCACCACTGTGGGGAATATCAAAGCTTGTTTATTTCTTCTCACCAGCAAAGGAGCTCCCTGAGGAGTATGGTTCATTTGACTCAAGAGCATCACCTCAAGCCATTGATACCTGGAGGAGGGTAGCAGAGAGACTCACCATGTGTCAGTTTTAGAAGTAAATATTCCTTCCATGAAGGCCTCTGGAGGCATCCATTTCACTGGCAGCATGGCACACCCTCCCTTTCTGTAGTAGCTGGCTCTGTGGGGGAAGAAGAGGAGATGGAGCTTGGGTTTGGAGATGACAGTGAACAGTTCTGCTAGGAAGTTTGAGAAAGGGCTGAAATTAAAGACAGGTCCTGGGTGGCTAGGGACGAGAGCAGGAGAACACAGATCATTTAGTTAAGAATCTTGGTGTCGTTTAATGGCTCACTAGAGGCACAAAGGAAAAGATCTATGCAGTGACTAAGATTCCTGCTAGTAGCTGTTTAGATTTCCCTGTTGGGCTTTGTTTATTATAACTCACAATGAATAACATTACTCCAACCTTATAAGTACAGCATATTTCTGATGACCTGCAATAATGCGAGACCCAGAAGGGGGGCGGGCTGAGAGCACGGTTTGTGTCTTACTCATTTTGGATCCTTTGTGGCTCTTATATAGCAGCATTTAAATCACTGTAGGCACTCAACAAATAATTCAGACAGCCGGCCAGAGGCTGCTTCCTATAACACAGCTGGACAAGAAGATGAGGGGCTGGGCATAGACCTGGCTAAACACACAGATGAATTAATTTATTAGTTTTCATCAGTAATACCATTAATGCAACTCACTAATAACTAATAAATTAACTCATCTACTGTTAAGCTAATTCCACACCTAACCTGGTGTTCTGTGTCTGTGTGTGTTATGGGAGACAACGTCCCACCAGCTGTCTACACTAATTAATGACTTCAATAAACATGTTCTGAGTGTTAGAATGTATCAAGTACTCTGCCATGTGCTGAGGACATAAATAAATCATAGTCTTTCTCTGTCTCAAGGATACAATTGAGTGGAAAAAACACGTACACCCTCAAGTGCAGCGCTGACACCACATATGATAATACAGGAGGTATAGAATTCAGTGACGTGGATGAAGGGTTGATTTGCTGTACAAAGACAGGGGCAAGAGACAGGGAGAACATCACAGAGAGGCACCGATGGAGATGAGAGGCTGAGGAGTGCTCTCCAAAGATGGTTCCTGACCCATAAAATTCACAAGCGTGTGGGCCTGTAGGGAGGCAAGGGTGGCTGAAGTCCAGGCATAGGAGGTGCTTTGGCTTGGATCTTGAGTATCTCCAGAAAGCCATGTGCTAGAACCATGGTGACCAGATTCCAGCACTCCTAGGAAGGTGGGGCTTAGCAGAAGGCAGTTAGGCCATTGGATACATGTCTGGAAGGGGATGTTAGGACCATAGCCCAGTCCCCCTTTTTCTGCCTTTGCTTTCTGGCCACCATGCAGTGTGCTATGTGCTCATGTCACAGTGTAGTGTATTACACAGCCTGAAGCAAAAGAGTCAGACAATCATGGACTAAAACTTTTGAAATTGTGAGCCCAAATAACTTTACCTTCCTTATAAGTTGTTCTATCTCAGGTATTTGCGATAGGGATGGAAAGTTGACTTCATAGGGAGCTGTCAGAGCAGAGGAGCCAACAAGGAAACTAAAGCTCGATAGTATGTTACACTGTTGTATTTGAAACTAGAAGAAATCCTCAGTGTTCTGATAAAGTACAGGAAGGTATGCTGGAACTTAGGGGAGTGTAGTGGTTAACTGATTATTAACGTTTGGCTTTAGAGTCACCTGGGAGATGGGCTTCTGGTCATCTATGAGGGATTATCTTGATTAGGATAACTGATTTGGGAAAACCCACCCTAAAGAAGGGTGGCACCATTCTCTGGGCATCAGTCCTGGACTGAATAAAAAGTAGAAAGCAAGCTGAGCCTGTCTTCATTACTCTCAATTTCCTGATTGTGGATACAATGTAGAGCTGCCTCCTCTTGCTGCCTTGACTTCCCTGCTGTGTTGGACTATGTATCCTTGAACTGTGAGCCAGACTAAATGCTTTCTCCATTAAGTTGCTTTTGTCAGGATATTTTATCACAGCAATGAGAAAAATAACTAAGACAGTGGGTAAAAGGGAAGGTGGAAAGTATGGAAGTCACGTGATGGTAGTGGAAGTAGATGGCTCCTAAGAGGTCTTCTTTAACTCTGTCCTTCATATACTGTGACCCTAGAATCCCTACACAGCAGCAGCACCCTTGCCCCTCTGGAGATAGTTCTTAGTTCTCACCAAAGCCCTCAGGGGTGTTCAGATATCCTCATTCATTCTCCAGAGAATTAAGGCTCTCTGCAACCACATTTCCATGTTAGGGAAAGGGTTAGTGACTGTGGTGGTTTGAATGAGAACCATCTTCTATAAGCCCCACGTATTTGAATCCTGGTCAGTTGATGGTGCTGTTTGGGGAAGGTCATAGAACCTTCAGGAGGTGCAGCCTTGCTGGAGGAAGTATGTCACTGGGGGGTGGGCTTTGAGAGTTCCTAGCCTTGTCCTGAAATAGCAAAACTGGCTCCATTTTGTTCTAGCTGACTTTTGCTTTACCCTGTATTTCTGTCTAAAACTCTCCCCCGTTGTTTGCCAACTGCACTCAGCTAGCCAGAACATCCCATACAGGCTGCACCTGTAGTTTCAGGTCAGGGGAGGGAGGAGGGGGGTTACAGTATTTCTACAATACTGGGAAACTTACAAGTAGCCAGGTAGCATGTCCAGGTAGCAAGTCTTCCCTCCCAGGTATACCTCCATCTCCATGGAGCCCATTGTTTCTGCAGTTCTGAGAAACTTGTTTATTTTCCTAACTGAAACATTTGCTAACTGAAAACCTCTTTGTTAACTGACCTACCCCTGGCCTGGTGTAGCTATGCCGAGCTAATGTAACTATGGTTATTGGCTTTGCCCCTGGCATGGTATAATTATGGTTTTACACTTTATAAACTGCCCTGCTTCTCCTTGTTATCAAGCATTCTTTAGAGCAGTAATGCCCCCTCTCTGACTACTGGCTAATAAAGGACTCTTGATTTGACCCAAAATTGTATGGCATTTCTCAGCTGGTACTACAGCTCCACTTTGAGATTCACTCTCTCCTTCCTGTGTCTGCTTGAAAATGCAAGCCCTCAGCTTTCTGCTCTGGCTGCCTCTGCTGTCATGCAGACTCTTATCCCTGTAACTGTAAGCCAAAGAAACTCTTCCTTCTATAAGTTGCCTTGGTCATGGTGTTTTATCACAGCAACAGAAAAGTAGCTAATATAGTGACCATGCAAAGGACTTACCCAGCTCATCTAGCAAGTCACAGTTGTAAGTAATAATAAAAAGAAGAAACTACAAATTGGGAAGTGAAGAGAGAAAGTGAAATAGAAACACTATTTTTTTAAATTAAAAATCTATTATTATTTGTTATTATTATATTTGCAGTGCTGAGGAGCACCTTGCAGATGAGGGACAAGGACTCCACCACTAGGCTACCTTACCAGCCCTTCTTTTTTCAGTTTCACATAGGGAAAAAAAGTGTCTGAACTAAGAACTTTCGTATTTTGAACTATATTCATGTGTTCCTGAGTGTGGGCAATGCCAGTACCCTGTCTATCCTGGGGAACTGGTGTTTGGAGTGGTGAATACCACTGTAATCATTTAGAATTCCTGAGCTGAGGGTGGGGGTTTGAGTAGGATATAGAGCTCACTTCAAGGCTTTTCCCACATCAACTGTCCAAGTTGTTCTCTGTGTTAGAACATGGCAAAATCAGGGGGTTGAAACCAGAGAGACAAGCTAAGGAGAAACCTGGTGTCAAGTATTGCTGAGAATTAGACTCTCAGGTCTGGCACTAATTAAAGGTTCCTATCTATTGAAAGAACTCACTGATATTCCATGTGGAACGTTGACAAGGTACCAGATGATGTAAGGTACAAGCAGTCACAGGCTTCTATTTGAAGGGATGGGATGGCAGAGGCATGCCCGTCTGCTCACCTGTAGATGTCTCGAGCCATCCCAAAGTCCCCAATCTTTGCTATTCTTCCAGTTCCAGCACAAGTCAAAAGGCAGTTTCTAGCAGCAATGTCCCTGGGGAGAAAAAAAACCCAAGAAAATATATTTCTTAATTTTATTCACAAAATGTCTAATAGCCATTCCCAGGGTCTTTACCTTCAACAAGGTTCAAACGGTTCCCTCATCTGCCCGTATTTCCTTTGCTATCTTATGTTTCTCTGTGAAAGAAAGAGTGATGCCAACTCCTGGCCTCCTGGGAAATGGGAAAGGATCAGGGGAACTGATTGACACCGCTTACGGAGACAAGAGAAATGAAATCAATGGTACCACAAACTACAATTTACTGGTCTTTTACTGTGTGCTAGGCATTGTTCGAGGTGATTTAAATCTAATCCTTACTACAGTCATGTAAGACACAGGACACTCTAATGATCTTCACTTTGTTTAATCCAAAAGCAGAAAATGCAGGGGCATAAGAAATGCTATCTGGCTTTAGGCCGTCACTATATATAGACTACAGGTTAGTGTTTTGCCAGTAGTTTGAAAAAATGTTTTAGAACAGCATGACTTCCATGATACCCAATTCAAGTAGGTTAAGATATTCTGAAATATGCCTGGTTTTTATATTTGAATAGGATACCTAGGATTTTATCTAGAGCCTTTGCTAACCTATGCAGCTAAAGAGTCACTTCTTTCAAATTATGAACTTGGCTCTCTGCTTCTGGGCTCCAGATGGCTCATTTTCCTGCAGCATGCCTCTGAGGCACCATTGCTGGCCTTCCAAGACTTGTCCACTTGACACCAGACTACTTTCCTATTGACATGATGTGGGAAGTGAGGCCACAGCAGAAAGTCTGGAATGGGGCTCTAATCATATTAAAGTCCCATGCAGAAAAATCAAGAAGTACCTTAGGGTGCACAGATGGTGTTTTCATATTTTCAACCAGCTTCATGAAAGTTCTTATCCTTGATTGAGGAAGAATTTGGAGAATAAACAACTGGCTAAGACGGTATTTAAAAGTTAGGAAGCTTGGGGCTGGTTCAATGGTTAAAGCACTTGCTGGGGTGTGGTGGCCACCTGTAATTCTAGTCTTGGAAAACAGAGACAGAGAATCCCAGACTAGCCATATCAGTGAGCTCTGGGTTTGATAAAGGGACCTTGCCTCAGTGAATAAAGTAGAAGAGTGATGGAGGATGATTCACAACACCCACATATATGAGCCCCCACACATGCAAAACATGCATACACCCATAACACACACACACACACACACACACACACACACACAAATGGAAAAGGAAAACAGGAAGCTGAGGAAAGTGTACATGCCTGTACTCTCAGCACTTGAGAGGTCAAGGCAGGAAGGTCTAACTTTGAGGCTAGCTTTGGCTATATAGCAGGTTCTTGGTCAGCTTGGGCTACATAGTGAAACCCTGTCACAAAAAATAAAATAAAGAATACTGAATTTAAACATATAGGACTCAAATTGGGGATCATGGCTTAAGATACCAGAAAAAATGGTGTGGGGTTGAGATGAATTCTGTTAATGTTATTAACCCAATCCATAAGATTCAAGTGGAATTTTGAGGGACAGGATCCACAAAATGTCCAAATAAATCTTTAAATAAATAAAAAAAAAGCAGGGCCTGGTGAGATGGCTCAATGGTTAAGCACACTTGCTGTTCTTCCAGAAGACCCAGGTTCAGTTTCCAGCACCCACACGATGATTAACAGCCATCCTTATCTCTAGGTTCATGGGATCCAGTGTCTTCTTCTGGCTTCCATAGGCATCACATGACAGGGTGTACTTACATACATGTAGGCAAAACACTCATACACATAAAATAAAAATAATAAAATAAAAAAATTTAAAAAATATTTTAAAAAATCAAAAGCAGTTTTCCATTAATTCTGAAGTGATCTTGTGAAATAAATCAAGAAAAATGTTCATGACTCCAAAAGGCCTTTACACTGATGCATGAGGTAATTGTTTAAAAAGCCATCTTGAATTTAGTGATAAGGAAGTAATGTAAGATCATAGAACATACCAAGAACTGGGAGAATGGCATACGATTCTTGAAATTTTAGTAAATTGTATCCAAATGCAACAGATTTAATGAAAACAAGAAAAGTGGGTGCACTTGGCTCTGGTGAGGGAGTTCTGATGGGAACTAGATGGTGTGTGCTATGGTGGTACTATAAAGGGTGGGTGGGGGGTGATAAGTGAGGAAGAGGTAGAAGGGGAGGGACAGGGAGAGGGACAGGAGAGGGGGAGGGAGACGGAGAGGAGAGGACAGGAGAGGGATCTGGAGCATTTTTCCTGTGCAGGAAATCCATAACTAGTTGGAGGGAAGAGGAGAGACAGCCTGGAATAAAGGATGAAAGCAAAGGAAACCTAAAATTGGATTGAAGGGTATCAGAAATCATCGTGAGCAAAGGAAGAAAGACACTGGAAGAGGACAAAAACAGGGAGAACGATGGAAGACCGAGAACCTTCCAAGCCCATGGCAAAGGAAAGGAGAAGGAAGGAGTCACATTGGGCCCTTCCAATGGATGGAGTGGGAAGCTCCAGGAGCTCCAGAGGGAGAGGGAGAGGGAGAGGGAGAGAGGGAGAGGAGAGGGAGGAGCGGGAATTCTGCTGCTGAGGAGCATTCAAAAGGCCTCTGAGCTAGTTCACCAAGCTATCATTTACCAAATTAGAATAGGAACAAATCATTAAAGAGTTTTGCAAAGAACGTAATAATATATTTGACTTCAGATTTCAGATGGAGCTGAAAGTTGTGAAAGGTGCTTTCCTAATGACCAAGTGATCCCAGAAGAGAATCTTTGATGGAAGTGGATGGTTTCTACCAGAAGTTTCCTTTCACTTACAACAGGTCATGCAAATCTATTTTTTTATTTGATTTTTGACAATTTAATTTCTTTAAAACGATAAAGAGAGGGACTGGAGAGATGACTTGCTCAGTAAGGAGCTTGCCACACAATCATGAGGATCTGAGTTTGGATCTCCCAGTACCCATGCTAAAAACCAGGCAGAGTGGCTTGCATTTGTAACCCCAGCACTGGGGATGCAGAGACAGGCAGATCCCTGGAGCACCTTGGCCAGTTGGCCTAGTTGAATCCATGTGCTCCAGGCTCAGGGAGGGACTCTGTCTCAAAAAGTGAGGTGGAGAGTGATTAAGGAAGACACCTGATATTGACCTCTGGCCTCCACACGCATGTGCGCACACTAGCACCTGCAGGCACATATACACTCACACAAACACACATTCATTTTATTCATTTTTATTTTTATTTTATGTATATGAGTGTATTGCCTGCATGTGAGTAAGTGCACCACTGTCATGCAGTGCCGGTGGAGGACAGAAGAGGGCGTTGGATCCCCTGGAACTGGAGTTACAGATGGTTGTTAGTCACTATGTGGGTGCTGGGATGCAAACTCAGGTCTTCTGCAAGTACAACCAGTGCTCTTAACTGTAGAGCCATCTGTCCAGCCCCACAAACACATATTCATATACATATACACACAGGTAAAAAGGACAGCAGACTATTATTTTGGAATCTAATTCTGACCTTCAGTAATTATTTTTAGATCTGGACATGGTAGGAATCTTAAGAGAATGTGATCCTGTTATCTCTTACATATCCATGTAAGAAGCAGATTAAAGAATTTCAGAAAAGATGGAAATGATCTCTCAGCCCGAGACTATCTGCTATGGTGCTGAAGGTGGGTAGAGATGCTAACACAGAAGCCATCTCCATGAGAGGCAAAGGAAGTCATCTGGAGTCACCAAGGTGACACACAGATTGCTTTCAGATGAATCCAGACTTAAAGGTCATGGGCAAAATGTAGGAAAGTGACTCTAACCAAGGATGACTTCCAAAAGGAGCATAAATTTGCCTCAAATCAGAAACAATAGAGCCCAGAGTTAAGGTTTCTGGAAAGTTCTGGGCATAATGAAAAGGACAGGATAGGACTAAGGCAACTTTTGAAGCTGACTGTGGTTTTGGATGACACAGAGGACTGGTTCTCACTGCTCTTTGGCTTTTATTATTTCTATCAAGCAGACTGACCTGAAAATTGGAAAGGCTTAGAATGAAGGGGAAGGACCCATGATCAAAGCAACAGGTTGAGAGTGAAGAGGGCAAGTGGTTTAAGAGTGGCCACTTCCCCAACTTTGGAGTGATTTTGGGCTCCAGGCCACGTCTGCTTCCTGACTTCTGGTTTCCTCATTTCAGCAGGGAGAAAGCAGGACTTGCACACAGTCACATACTTCTCTTCGAAAATGAGCAACTCCCATTTTCTACTTTGTGTTTTACACTTTCTAATGATGATGAACACACCTTCAAAAAGGTTTGAGGGTTGGAGAGATGACTCAGCGGTTAAGAGCACTGGATGCTTTTGCAGAGGACCTGGGTTCAGTTTCCAGCACCCACATGGCAGCTAATGATCATCTGTAACTCCAGTTTCAGGGGACCCAACACCATCTTCTAATTTCTGAGGGCATTGCATGACATAGGTGTACTCACATACATGCAGGCAATGCATTCATACACATAAAATAAAAATATTATATAAATTATTTTTTTAAATATTTTATTTATTATTTTAATTTTATATGTATGAGTATATTGACATAGGTAAGTGCACCCATGTCGTGCAATGCCCGCGGAGAACAGAAGAGGCTGTCGGATCCCCTGGAACTGGAGTTACAGACAGTTATTAGCTGCCATATGGGTACTAGGATTAATGCCCTCTTCTGACCTCCACGGCATTGCACGACATGGGTGCACTCACATACATGCAGGCAATGCACTTGTACACAAAAGATAAAAATAAATTAAATATTTTTAAAAAATTTAAAAAAAGATAAGAACTTAAATGTTTGAAGACTTGGGATAATAAATAATTATGAGTTCACAAGGCTGTTATTTACTGAATTAGAAGCAAATCATTAAGGAGAGCTTGGCAAAAATCCCTAATAATATATTTGATTTTTCAGATTTCAGATGATACTGTCATTAGCATCTGCAAAGGAAGAAACATGTGATCCATGGTGCTTATGAGCATTAAGTGTGGGTATGATGCCTCAGTCCAAACGGCATTTAAATAAAGGTTCATACACAGCAGAAGAAATGCCACACAGAAACCAAGAAAATAGCTAGAATTATGCTTCACTTTAGAGTATTTCAGGAAAAAATAATTATCTAGCAAACATTTCACGTCCCACAATTTGTGAGGAAGTAATGAAGAAAGAGTCCTTTGAGTACCTATTGTGTGAAGATATGAACTCCTTTAGCATATCCATAAAGACCCCAGTTTCTATGTTGGGGAAGCCTAAGGTGGTACAGAGCTTGAATGTTCAAGATACAAGCATGAGGCCCATGGGAGGTCCAAAGTCACTCACTGGACTCCAGTCCCAGCACAGAGATTTTATGATGCCCACTTCACACATGGGCAGGGTATGCCTTGAAAGACAGGTTCCCTCTCAAAGACACCAAAGATGACCTATCCAAACACCTGCAGAGAGACCTATTCTCTTAAAGGGGAGATCTGGCCCCTGAGGCATTGCAGGGAAGTGTGCAGAAGGCTAGGAGCTCAAGGCTACTGGCTTACCGGTGGATGAAGTGGTTTTCCTCAAGGTACTGACAGCCGCAGGCAATGTCCCGAGCCACGTGCAGAAGATCCAGCATGGCCAGTGAGGAGGGCTGGTTCTGTAGAGGAAGTCAGCTGTTGAGGCTCTTGTGGGAGAAGGGAAGATGGGAAACCGGCTTCTATTTGTGAGGAGGCTGAACCCAGTCATGCTGCCCTATAAGGGGTCTCGTCCCTTTAAAATCAATTGCTTTGCCCCAACCCAAGCTTAGAAATCCACCTTTCTGGGCAGGCACAACTTTGTAGATTTGAAAGTATTCAGGTGATTCTAAGGCACAGAGAGACTTGGGATGCCCAGGACATACATGAGGAGAAATCTTTCTCTTTAATGTACTCTGCACATTCTTCTGGCCCAACCTTCATAAACATGTGCACACTCCAACTTGATAAGCAAGCCTGGGAGGAAACCAACAGAGAATAACTAATGTTTTTGAAATCCTCTCTTGAAATGTCTTAAATGTATTTTATTTACTTATCGTCTTTTTCCATTTTCAAGTGTGTGTGCATGTGCATGTCTGTGTTTAAGAATTATTCATTTATTTTATGTATATGTGTGTGTGCTTGAGTGTATGTATGTGCAATATATGTGGAAGCCAGAAGAGGGCATTAGATCCTCTGGGATTAGAGTTACAGGCAACAGTTGTGAGCTGTCATGTAGGTACTGGGAAACTAACCCCAGTCCTCTGCAAGAGCAGAGAGTGCTCTTAACTGCTGAGCCATCTCTCCAGACTCTGTGTGTGTATGGTTTAAGTGTATGTATGCATGTTTGCATGGTGGGGGGGGGTGTACAGTGTGCATGAGTGTTTGTGTGTGGGTACACACTCCTCTTCCACCTTATTCATTGAGGCAGGGTCTCTCAAACAAACCTAGAGCTTACCGATACAGCTAGTCTTGCTGTCCAGCTCACTCTGGGGATTCCCTGTCTCAGCCTTCCTGGGCAGGTACTACAGGTGGGTTGCCACACTCTCAATATCTACATGGGGTGTGGGTATCTAAACTCAGGTTCTCATACTTTCTCAGCAAATGCTTTAACTGCTGAGCCATCTCCCCAGCCCTTAAAATGTTCTTAAAAATTAAAATTAAGTTTCTTTAGGAAGGTCTGAACCTAAAATGAATTTATAAAAGTCTTTGGAAGATGCCAGAGCAATGTTCTTTACAAACTCTCTTTCATGTCAAAGGATATACTATACCATTTGTGGACACATCCCTTCCTGGTCTCTTGGATAGTGCCATGAAGGTGACATCTCTTCCCATTCTAAATACCCCAGCTGTGCAGCAGGGTGTCACCAGCCAGGGTCTTATTCACTTCGTTGTGTTGTCCTGTGTTTATTTTACCATGCCCTCAAATAAACTTCGAAGTCTCCAAGACCTGGTTTCTGGACACAGAGACCATCAAGCAACCTCTGGGTCTCAGGGTTATTCAAGAAAATGAATCCAGAGGAATTCAGGTCTGGAAGTCATCAGGCTCCAGAATCTGGAGGCCCAGCTCTACCCACTCACTCTCTACCGTTCTTGTTTCTCCATCTCCGAATCCTGGGCTATCTCCCTGCTTATTCGAGATGCTTTGTATTAGGCCCTCTGTCCACCAGAAATCGCATCCCATTCTCACAATCAACCAATTCATTGGGTTAAGTTGCATTTTGTGACCCTGAGAATCAGGGTGGAAGCCCAAAAAATTCCCCAACTCCCCAAGAAGCTGCTTCCCAAACACATCAGCATGGGTGGCTCTGGAGGGCTGTGTTCCGGTACGTGAAGCCATCCCCCTGGCCAGAATCGCAGAAGAACAGCTCACCTGGGAAGGGCTGAGGCACACCAGTGAGCAGGGTGACTGGGGTACAACCTTGGTATGAATTTATGGAGATGTGGGTATGTGGTTGACAAGGAGAACCAGACAAAGTTAATTCTGGACCAAGAGTCAAAAGAGTCGGTTTGATGGGTAGGATGGTCGGCAAGGAGGAGCTCTCTGGAGAGCAGCCCCCAGGCAGTGCCTGTTGTTGAGGTTAGAATGGGCAGTGGGCTCCCACACTGACCTTCATGTGGGTAGTGTTGTGGGGGTGGGAGGTAGTGGAGGTATCAAGGATTTGTCTCCTGGCTGGTGTGCCTGGTTCTCTGGGACAGTGGCCAAATAATTTTTCATTCTCACAGGAGAGGCTACCTTGGCTTTTAGGAGCTGGAAAAACCCTTCTCTTCATGCCTCCCGTTCCTGTTCCTGCTCCAATGTCCTTGGACTTTCCAAGTGATGGGTTCTCAGACATCCTTTCCAGGGAGTTCTCTTTCCTCTTCATGCATGTTCTCTCCCCTAGCCTCAAAAATGCCAATGGGAAAGAAAGCCAAAGCTGCATCTCTTCAGAAAGGGTGATGCCTAGGAGCAACATGGTGAGCTCTTGGCTTTCTGTGGCTGTGTGTCGTTCTTTCTCTGCTTCCCTCTGGCAGGGCAGGTGGCTACTCATCTTATCCTGCTGGTCTGCTGTGGTGACTCCTTGAGAAAGTCCAGGTCCTTACCTGGGCCTGCTCTGCTCCTGTTCCTAGTGACTGAGGCCTCCTGAAGGCCCTGCAGGGACAGGCACTAAACTCTGGGTGGCTGAATGGGCAGTGTTTTGTCATTTCAAGTCACGTCTGAGGTGCTCTAGCCTGACCCTCACCTGTGCAGATGCTAAGGTTAAAGAAGGTGACTGCTCTATGTCACGTGCTGCCTGATGGCTATGCAGGGGCTGGAGACTGGGTTTCATGGGTCCAACTTTGAGATTTTTCTCACGCTCTCTTCCCTCATTGACAGCACCACCAGGACACACACCATCCCCATAAATATTCCAGTATGTTCTTTTCATAGAAAACCACAAAGTCGGGATGTTATGTATTATTATACTTGTTTGAGAGAAGAGGACAGTGGGTTTGGAATGAGTGGATGGAAGGTAAGTTAGTGACATGGTTAGCATGTAAATTCCCCTCTGAGTTTGCCTTGAGTTTGGTGGTCCAGAGGTATCAGGCTATAAAAAGAAGTCAGATTACAGAATCTATTGTTCAAGTCTTGCTTGAGCTCCTTGGGGATTGTGCTCCCTATCTTCTGTTCACTCTATCCTGGCCATTCCCCTAATATCCAACCCCTAGGACTGGCTCTTGGGATCCCACTGAGTATGCTGCTTCCCAGGCAGCCCACTCCTGCTCCTCCCACTCCTTGCTCTTTTACTGGCATGACCACTGGTGGGAAGACTGGTCACTCACAGGGCGAGGGCGTGTCTCTCGGAGGAAGGACTTGAGGTCTCCACCTGCCATGAGCTCCAGCAGAATGAAGCGGGGCAGGGCTTGCAGACTCACTCCGATGCAGCGCACTATGTTCTGGTGGTTGAATTTGCTGCAGGGCAGAGGGTGTAACAAAATTTAACTGAGCTGGGTCTGGGACCATTTAAGTAGGGGAAGCAGGACACAAAGTCGTGGTTTCAGGAACCACACTGTGAAGCTGTCTTTTGCAGATATCAACAACAGGTGAACTTTCCTGGGAAGCAGGTGGGTAGATGGGGGCAGCCCTGGCAGGAGTTGAATTAACAGGAAAGAATTATATTGGAGTGGGAGGACCTTGGAGTGACATTGCGTGTGTGTGTGTGTGTGTGTGTGTGTGTGTGTGTGTGTGTGTGTGTTTGGCAGGGGCAGAAGAGAGTCTTTCTCAGCATTCCTGCTTGAATGTGTGCTTGAGTTTTCTGAGGAAAGTCTCAGGCAAAGCTTGAAGGACTGGCTTCTCAAAGTGATGGCATGAGACCTGCCAGGTGACAAGGTGTGAAAGAGAATCAAGAAGGGAGATGGCTTCACTGGTCTCTGTGGTCTCCTGGGGTGTCCACATCTCCAGGGACTGAGTTGGGAAAAGAGACATTGAGATTTGGGTATTCTTGACATTTTCAGATACACGGAGCGGGGCTAGAAAACTCCACATGGAGAAAGACACACACACACACACACACACACACACACACACACACACACACACACACACCCAGTACAAGTTGAGAGATTGGTGATTATATATAAAATATAATGGTTCATTATTACCTGGTAGTGATACTCCATAATTAGGCTCTCCTATGTAATCTTACCCTTTTTAGGTTTTATTCAATAATCATGTATTCCATGCATAATCAGAAAATAAATGTTAATTTTAAAGCAAAGTGATGCCCTGGCTGTGCATTTTCCTGGCGTCCCAGAGCCCATAAACGTATCACTCACACAGCTCTGGCCTTATTCTCCCATTTCTACTAAGAGGACACCTCAAGTCACCTCCATAGGTCGGGATGTCTGGGGTGTCACATGCCTCCTTCAAGTCCAGAAGTCAACTGCCTGGCTCCTCCCTCAGGGGACTGGCTATCAAAAGCAGCGGCCCTGAGAAGCATTGTCACTGAAGTTCCCAGCTCAATCTGTGCCACCAGTTGCAGGGTGCAGATCAACTGAGAGTCAGCCCTGCCACTGAAGATGTAGGGTAGGGTGGTCTGCTGTCTTCATCATGCCAGGGATACCCTTCCTTTATGTGTGGGATAGGCAAAGGACCTCAGTTCTGGAAGAGTCATTTCAGGGGAGATTATACCTTTGAAGATGCTCTATTCCTTTACTTTTTAAAAATTTATTACTTTTATTTTATGTGTATGAGTGTATTGTCTGCATGTGTGTAAGTGCACTTGTGTCGTGTCATGCAATGCCTGACGAGATCAGAAGAGGGCACTGGATTCCATGGAACTGCAATTATGGACAGTTGTTAGCCTCCATGTGGGTGCTGGGAACCGAACCAAGGTCATCTGTAAGAGCAGCCAGTGCTCTTAATTACTGAACCATCTCTCTAGTCCCCAAGCATGTTCTATTTCTTAAGTGAGAAACAAGAACCAATAAATGACACTGGGATGCCCGTTGCAGGCTGAGGGCTATCAATTCGATTATTAAGCCATACAGATAATGTCTGAAATAATCTTTGGGGGTTGTTAAGACTCCACTCCAGGGAGTCTTATCCTGGGAAGGGGGCAGGACATACTAGGAAAAACAAACACCATCTCCCCTGAGACCTCTATCAGGTAGAAATATCTCCACATTCTTCCCAGGGTGGGGAGGCAGGCTGAAGTCTTTGTGGCTTTACCTGATGATCAGGGCTTCCATGAGGAAATCCAGCTCGTCCTGTTCTGAACACACTTCTGGCAGCGTCTGGGCACAGAAGGGAGGGTGGGAAGGAGGAGAAGGAGGAGGCAGCTGTGAGCTGTATAGCTGTGAGCTATACAGAGACCTTAGGTCAAGGTCAGGCTCAAGGTGGAGCCACCTCTTACCTTTACAGCCACTTGTAGGGGGCTTGGGTCATTGGGCGTTCCAGACACCTGGCCTTCATACACTTCTCCAAATGCGCCATGGCCCAGGCCCCTGTACCAAGGAGAAGACAAGTCATAGTTAAGTGGATGACAGGCAGCTGGGGTCCCTGAGACCAGGGACACATTTAGTGCTCACATACAAGAGGCAAAGCTGATGCACATTCAGGAGTTACACCTTCAATTTGCCTTTGCTATGCCATCCTGGGCTTCTCTCTGATGAGAACAGCTCTCACACTTTGTTTGAGTGTGTTTTCATGTACTGAAAATTAATCCTGACTATGAGGTATTAAGAGGGTGGGAACTGTTGTGTTGGGTAGTGATTAGGATTAGACAGTCATTATCATAGAGCTCCCATGACTGGATCCTGGTGGCTTCGTAAGAAGAGGGAGCATTAGAGATAGATACATTGATGTTCTATGCCTCTTGTTAGGTGGTGCCTAGCTCTGCCTTTGCCATCCAGAAGGTCATCACCAGGTATAGCTCTTAGGCCTTGGATCATAACTGTGAGCACTAACAAACCTCTTTTCTTTATAACTCACCTAGCTTGCGGTTGTGTGTTACTGCAAAAAGAAAACAGCCCACACAATTCTAACGAGGGATTTATGATTATGGTCAAATATTTATTCATTTGATGAATATTTAGTGAGTCTCTGATGTCTGCTAGGGACCGAGATAAGGGGTGACCCCTTTTGGGGGGAGGGTGATATTCCTGTGGATAGGGACAGATCATTGGCAGATGCTGTGGAGTGTTGTAGTTGACAGGAAATGGCAGAGGGAGTTCTGGATCCTCAGAGGAGGGGCATGCAGAGGCCAGGAGGTGGGGCCAGGAATCATTCATGAGAGGATTTTGAGCCCTTTCGTTCTTTACATCTCCTCTTGAATAAGTTGCACGAATATATCAGGCTCTGAAATAAGCAGACACCCCCATGTGGCTCTGAACACTAAGCCTTGTTTTCCTGGCAGGCTGGAGGTGTGCTGCAGGGATGGTGGTTCTGGCCCCTTGTGGCTACAGATGTGCACAGTACTGGGAAACCATCCAGGCCCAGTGCAGGACACTGACCGGATGAGGGTGATGTTTTTCCGTGGCACCTCCTTCAGGTCACTGATGGATGAAGTCTTGCCGGCAAAGCAGTAGTTGGGGTTGTAGTCCGTCATGATGGTCGAGGTGCGCAGCTTGCTCAGCTTGTACTCAGGGCTCTGCAGTTCCATCTGCATGGCTTGCAGCTCCTGGTGTTTCCGGCGGTACACTGCAGACAGGCAGGGGTCTGCTGAGACAGGGCCTGGACCAGGTGGCCTTCTGTTGAAGCCCAGCACAGGCCACTTCCTCCAGAAGCCTCCCCGATTTCCATCTCCTTCCTTGAACTCTAAACCTTTCCATCTTAGTAATGCTAACAACATGATGATGCACACAACAGCAGGTTTTTACCCAAAACATATAAAGCAAATGTAAAGCTTAAAGCTGCATAAAAGAAAGAGATTTTAGTGTACAATTCATTCAGGGGTGGCTTCCTTGTTTCATTTCTGTTGCTGTGACAAAATAGCCTGACAAAAGTAATTTAGAGAAGAAAGGGCTTACTTTAGTTCACAATTCCAGGTTACAGTTCACCACTGTGGGAACGTCAAGGCAGAGAAAAATCTGGAACAGTGTAGTCAAACCCACAGTCAAGAGCACAGAGAGGTGAATGCACACATGCCTATGCCCAGCTCACTTTCTTTCTTTCTATACAGTCCAGGACCCAAACCCAGTGAATGGTACTGCCCACTTTTAGCCTGGGTCATCCCACATGAATTAACGTGATTACAAAATCTGCACAGGCATGCCCATAGGCCAACCTGATTTAGACAGCTCCTCATTGAATCTCTTTTCCCAGATGACTGTAGATTTTGTAAGTTGACAATTCAAACTAACTATCACACGTAGACATGTCAGTCTGGGCCTGCAGGAAGCTGACTCGAGGTGGGATTAGAACACCGGGATTTTATTAAGGGAGATACTTATAGAAGGAATGGAGACAGAGCCAGGAAAGGCTGAGACCCATCAGACATGAAGGAGAGGTAGGGGAAGGTTGGTTAGGAGCACCTTGCAGGCCATGCACTGGAAGGATGTTTTGCTAATGCTCTTGGGTATTCTGAGACCAGAGGTTCCTCAGGTCTTCTAGGAATGGGTCTGCCTCAGTGTGTCTGCAGTGCTCAGTCATGGGTCGGGCTGCCCTGAGGCAAACAGAGCAGTGGACTCAAGGGAGCTGAGGAGGTCTTGGTCAGATGTGCTTGCTATAGCTGGAGAAATGCCTCGCCACATGATTGGAGAATAGCCACACAGTGACAAGACCCCTAAGCTGCTGTCCAGAACTTGAGCTCTCATTCCACTGATCTCTTTGGATTTCTTTCTCTGAACAGTAATTCCTTCTCTGCTTCCTTAAACTAAGCCCTTACCACCCCTGAAGAATGGAACTCTCTCTC